ACAGTGGAAAAGTTCAGGAATGTGTCTGCAAGATTGCGATGTTGTTGCAACTTGTTTTCTTACCCCATTAATCAGAATGATAAAGTAGTGACAAGAGGTACTCTGCTTGCATCCGGAATGTCTTCCTGGTGTACCCTTGTGATTGATGCAGTTCATTTTAGAGATGTCTGTAAGAGAGCAGCATCAAGCGCAGAGTAATGTGATTAAAAAGAAAGATTCTGTCATAAATTCTGACGTAGTGAAGAGAGAGTTGTTTGCCTTACGAGGAGTCAGGACATCTTTCAAAACACTTTTGTATAAAACTGCGAAATGAAGGTCCCTTGTACAATTAGAAACCTTTCTGCTCTTCCCTTCATTCAAAGAAGGTGAAACACTCCTCTGAAGGGAGTTTGTAAGACAAACTAGAAATGCTTTAGGATACTTTTATTACTGCTGTTCTCTACGGGCAGTATGGTCTGATTAGAATAAAAGTTTTGTTTGACCTACGTTAAATGGGAGTTTGCTGCGTACCTGCAATTTCCAAATATACCAAACCTGAAGATAATTATAAACATGGTAAAAAAAGTCTAATATATTAAAGTCTACATGAAACATTTTAAAATTCCTCCTTCTCCCTCCTTTTTTTTTTTTCTTTTTTAAATGTCCTTTGTCAGCATGGTGTTGTAGAAGAGTTAACAATAAGCATACAAATGTCTTTAGATATTTTTTCCAAGTGTTACTTGTTTGCCTATTTGTGTAAGAGCCATACTTACTGGTGCATATCCCTGTGGGGACTGTCTGAGCGTGAGAGTAGTCATAATATCTCAAGGCCAAAACTTGCTCTCAAAATCAGAGCATTGCCTCTTTATTATAAGAATGTCCTTCTTGTAGAAGGTTAAATTAATTTATTTAATTCCTAATGACTATGTAGTGTTGTAAATAAGATGTATGATGAGACATCATATATGTAATAAGATTGTTGTTTGTTGATTTTAATAGCCTTCTGGATGGCAACTTGAGAATGAGAGAAATGCATTAAGATCCTTATCAGATAGCATTATATAAAGATTCAGTAGTTGGAAGCAAGGACAGGGAATATTAGTTCTTACAACAGTTCCTGCAGCTGTTATTAATCATGCAGATAATGCATAATGTAAGATCATTACATAAGATCCCTTGGTTTAAAGTTGCCCTTAAAATGTGCAATTTGAATCTGAAAATGAAGCATTTGAGGCAGTGGCAGCGTTACCATCTAAGAGCTGCTGAAGACTCTTTAGCAAGATAAGGGAGGGAAGTGGATGGTGCTTGGAGCCAGCACTCCCACATTGCCTGTGGGCAATTTGTTGAAACCAATTTCCAGATTTCAGTAGAAGCTGCTCAGCAGCCTGCAGTGCTGGAGATTCCTCGGGGCCCTTGCTGTTTGAGGCCTGTGAACAGGGGGCAGCAAGTCCAAGGTGGCTGACCTTAAACAGGGGTCGACAAATCAGCTGTTGATAATGAAGCTGTGTGAAAATACCTAAGTCTCACTGAAAATAGTATCAAACTGCTATATATTCATTTTTTTAAATCTAAAAAGTGCATATCTTGTATTCCCAGGCAACACATTATCAAAAAGACTGCAAGCAAAAATACCTGCTTTAGTATAAATCGTAGGTATATGGGTTGACAGTGATTGCCATCCTGTGTACAGTGATGTTCCTTGAAATGCACAGTACCTGCTTTGACTCAATTACAGCTGCCATAAAACTTTCAAGTAATGTGAGCATCTTGCATGAGGGTCTACTTTACTTAATAAAAATGGAGTTATGCTCTTTTTAATTAAACTAGCAAGCAAGACAGTGTGATTGGCTTGGTAACTGTGACTGTGAGTCTTGGAAGGTAAGTGCCCTCTAGGGATTTTTGTTAGTAAGTCTTGCCAAGTATTGCAAGATATGGGAGGAAGGGTTAATTGATAGCCTGAATAAATCTCTTTTCTTACTACAAAGTAATTTGTTTGATATACCTTGCAGGTGCAGTATATAATACTGCTTTTTGTGATAGATAGTTTCTACTTCTTTGGTGCTATTTACATAACATGTTAATTTTAAAAGCCAGGCTTTGCTGCCATCATTCACTTGTTGTTGTTTTTGGTTTTGTTGCTGTTGGTTTTTTTAGGGCTCATAGTCCCATATAATGAGTAGTTCATGTTGCACAACATTATCTTTTAGGTACCAAGGTTCTGTAATTAGCATACAAGCTTGTAACTCCAGATTAGTATTTTTAACTGTTAACTATAATATTAATGAATTCACTTTCTTATGAGAAGGGAAAAGCAGTTCTTAAAAAAATCACGAAGGCAGGACCTTCATGCTTTCTCCTTCCTGAAGCATATGTAAGGACAGCATTTTTAAGAGCCTTTTAGCCAAACCAATGAGCAACTGGCAGTGCTGGCTTGTGGATACAGGAGGAGCAGTCCTCCAGGATCACTGCTTCTGCACACCTTCGTGCGTGTGTTCACTTGTCCTTGCCCATCAGTCAAGTGATCTCTGTGGCCCTCTAACTCCCTTCCTCTCCAGCACTGAGTGTTCCTCTGGGATACATGGTTTGCAGTTGCAGAGTCAAGCATGCAGACCAGTGGAGATCTCAGACCCATCTCCAAGGATGGTTACAGGGAGCATCAGTTGACTCCTCTTTAGAGAGGCAGCCACAGCATGGGATGCAGCTTCACTGAAGTTGCTGTGGATCAGAAGGCCAGATGTCAGGTGCTTGACTGCAGCTAAATACTCCTAGTGTGTTGGGGAAGACATGGTATGCTGTGTTCATTCATGGGACTGGGCTGTCTGTGTGGCCTTGCCCAAGGAGAAGAAAGTAGCTCACCTTTCTGAAAGGTGGGGATATAAGCTGTCCGAAGATTTGGTATGACACTGTTTTGCTTCACTTATGTTGTCTTGCAACTATAAACTTGAAATGTTTTGGGCTCCTTCTCTAATGAAGTTATTTGGCAAGTGCAGGTCTACTAATCCTAGAAATACAAAGTGCCCAGTCCCAGCTTGGGTCATAGTAGTTTTTCTTTTAATTTTAAGGAATGAACAAGACTCTGGGGTTGATGTATCTTTATTGAGAACATCTCTGTTAATAATGTTTAATATGAGTAAAACATCATTTTGGAAGTCTGCCATCGTTGTTTTAGAAGTGGCATACAGACAAGAATGGATGTAGTTTAATCATAGTGAGGTTAAAGGATCCTGCAGTGGTCCAAATGTTTAGTGCTTGCTCCAGTTCCTTCTGGCATTTAGACCTTTCAATAGACTTACTTTTCTGCAGCCCATTTCAAATTCCTTTCAGGTTTTCCGAGTTACTAATTCAATTGTTAAAGCTTGATTTAGTAACCAAACCAAGGCAACTGTCAGAATAAACAGTACTGAAGTATTCTGCTGATATCAATAGTGTCATCATCTTTATCCACATTTTCATTAGTGCTTATGATGTGCATAAGCCAGCTATTTTATAATCTGGGCAGATGTAAAAAGAATGTAATGCCTTCTGGATCGATGTAAGTTGTTAATTCAGTAGTAGAAGCTTCTTAGAGTAATAGATCCTAACAATTTGAATGGGCAAATACTTAAAAGGTGGGACATGTTTTGTTGCTGTTGGTATTCTGCACTTTGGAAATGCTTTGGGGATCTTTGGGTTAGGGATGTTAGAGATCCTTATTTTGAGTATAGCTAATTCTGAAGATGGGTCTTATGGAAACTTGCATAACTGCTTCCCTAAATTAACTGAGTTATCCAGATGTTTTTCTCAGAGATGCCCTGTGGTGTCATTTCTGATAGTACAAGCTGTGTCCTCACTGTGATACACAGGACACATGTTAGGTGCCAAAGTAGTTACTCTTTCTGGAGCAAAGTAGCAATGTGTTGAGACTTTAATGAAATATAATACATACTACTACAAGTTATGGACATACTAAATGTGTGTTCCTGGAAATAATAGTGAAATGTGATGTCTCACTTGTAATACCGTATAACGCTGTTTTAATGCTGACAGTAAATCTGTACTTGGCATAATACTGTGAGATATGTAAATTTTCCCATGTTTCAAGCTGGTTTATGTATGGGGTATTACTGTAATAAAATTGTATTGTTTGGTTGCATGCCACAAATTGCAACAAAGATTGCTTTCAAATCGTCTGCTGCTGAGCCTTGGGAAGAAGGAAACAGTGTTACCCATTTGTGTAATAAACCAGTCCTTTCAGACTGAGACAGCACACAAAATTTGTTTTGTAATAAAAATCTTTTTCAAGTAAACTTCAAGGGGAATTGCTGTTGTCAACTCAAAAGCTTTCAGTTAAAATTCATACAAGTTATCTATGGAGAAAGGTGTTATTGCTCTGCTATGCAGCAAGGTGCATTACTGCTGCAGATCTGTATTTTACAAGAAACTGCAAACTGCATACACTTTGCTCTGTGTCTTAGCACAGTACAGTACAGAACACATACAGCTACTTTTTTGGTGAGGAGCTGAAGACAAACATTCCTGCTTTGGTATAAATGCATTATTTCTTGTTCTGCAGTCTGCTTCTTCTGCACTTGTTGCAACAAGTGTACATACAAGCAGTCTTGTAACCAGTGAGTATGCAGCCTAAACTGTATAAATTTACTTGTGAGTTAAAAATACCCCCAAACTCTAGCATTTTAAAACTAAAATTATGGCATCAAAAGAAAAAAAAAAAAGAACCAAAAGAAACAAACAAAAAATCCCCAACCAAACCAAACATGGGCCATAATTTAAATTAAGTTTTAACTAGGAGGTTCTTATTGCCTTAAAGAATACTTGTATTCTTCCCCACCTTAAGGAACATTTTTTGGATTGACAAGAGGAGGGACCTGCACGTGCTGTGTATTTGTTAATTTGGCTAATCACAGAAGGGAACTGTAACTTATCTTGATGCAATGTGTAAGAGAAACTAACAGTACTTCAATGGCAGAAAGTGCAGGAGTTAAAATTTATGTGGCTCCCATTCTTCATCTTTTCTTTTACAGTCCACTCCTTTACACCTAGCAGCAGGCTACAACAGAGTTCGGATAGTCCAGCTTCTGCTTCAGCATGGTGCCGATGTGCATGCAAAGGACAAAGGGTATGTAAAATTAACTGATTTATTATCTGTTTGCAGCAGATATTAATCAAGATGAAGATTTATTTCTCTGGTTCATGTTGCAGCATAATCTCAAATAGTTGGCTGAGAATGTGATACTTGCTTCCAAAATCTGAGTGTGGTTCATCATAAATGAACCTTTGTTAGAGCCCTGATAACAGACAGTTACAATTGCACTTGGTTTAGGTCTTTTTTCACAACTTGAATTTTTTTTCCAATCTTTGTTCTTTACTTCCATGCACAGACTACCCTGTGAAATCATGGACTAACAGCATTATTTTACGGAAGACAGTGGGGGCAAGATACGGGGGCTTAGTGAAAAATGTACATTGAATAACCTATCTGTAGTTTCATTATGCTGTTGCATATGCATGGATGTAATTCCAAGTAACATCAGTAATGCTCATGTGCTCACAACTTGTGGTCCTTGGAGATGTATCTTGATTGATGCTGCCAGCAAAAATCAAGATGTATTAGAAGCTAAACTATTCTGTTTTTGCAGTAAGGATGGTAGTTAGGTAAGATATCACAAAAAGTACACAGCAGTCAGAAATCTGGAATTATACATATTGTGCATTGTTCTCAGCCACACGTTTCTGGTCTGTAAGATGATGATTTTCATGATGATCTGTTAGAAGGGCTTATTCCTCACATTGTAGAAATTGAGCCCCCAGTTAAAGGCATACATTTTGTATTCAGAAGTAAGATGTTAATGAGTATGTGTTCTGTCTCCATGAGCAAACTTGAGGCACTTCCTATATTTTCATTTTCTGCTGAGTCCAGCCTAGTGTTAAAAGATTTTTAATCAACTTCTTAGCTTTTTTCCTTTCTTTCCAAACCAGTCCTCAGTGTACTTAAACTCTTGAAGTTTGACTAGTTGTAGCACTTCAGTCCATCCATTCACCCCAATGGCTTTTTAAAATCAGAATTGTTGTGAAATGCATAATGACATGTTATACAAGTAAAAAAACCAAAAACCATAAGAAGAAAATAAGACACAAAAATCCCTTAATAAAACTCTATTTAGTACCTGTTCAGGTAGATCCAGCACTATTTGGTAAGTTTGAGGTATTTTACACCTTTCAAAAATTTCAGCATCAGTTGGTAGAAAATTCCAGTGTGAATGCTGTAATGAGGTTTGAATGATTTGCTTAGAAAGTGTAAAAAGTAACTAAGTTGAACTTGAACTGGGTGCTGGAACAGGAGGGGAAAGAAAGGGAACAAAGAAAGGAAAACCAATATACTTACTCTGTATTAAACTTTAAATTAACCCAAATGTATTTAGAAATATCTAACATCCTAGTAAGCTCCCACTTTTTTTCAGTGGCATCACACATTTACAATCAGTGTGTTGTTTTGTTTTATCTTACTGTTTCTTATTTATACATAATTTATAGGTAAGTAATGCTATAAACAAATGTCACTTTTCATTTAAGGAGCTAAATTAGGTTACGTTGATTTTATAGACCTCTTAGGTTCTCTTCAATGGGGTCAATTTAAAGAGAGCCTTTAGGAACTGGGCTGCATTTTCAAAATGGTCACCACTTCTGGTTACTCCCAAAGAGAAGCCTTGCCACGGAAGCAGCTCTTTTTCCACTGGTCCTTTCTTTCCCTTACAGTTGTCATGCACAAAGTTGCGATGTGCTGGACGAGGAAAGGGGAGGGGATGCTGCAGAAGTGACCAGGTGCATTGCTGTAGTGATTGTCTTTGCTGAGTGGTCATTTTGGAAGAGGGCAGGTTTTTTGAGTGCTTGGTGGACTGACTAGTCTCTCTCTGTCCCACACGTGCACTCCTAAGTTGTAATTAAGAAAAGCGATGATAAAAAAATAACAGTTTGGAAAATTTCCCCAAACAAATTTCCCTCTCCTGTGACAAATGCAGTGCTGCTTCTCAGAGCAACTACTTTAAAATTAAGTTCACTTAATTGCTGTCCTAATGCTCTTTGAGTTGATTTTGCAGTTCTGGGAATCACTCCCTGTATTTTCCATAAATGATGAAGGGTTAATTGTTGTTTTCAGTGTATTGTGCATAGTTGATCCATAAGTAGCCTGTCTTGCTTGGCTTGAATTAAACTCATTTTATCCTCAGCAATAATTGCCCTTTTTGCATCTCCCTTTCAATGCATGACTTTTTTATTAAGTCTTGTGCTTATGACCAAATCCCTGTTATTTACTTTGCTAGTGTCTGTTTTAACTATGACCTGCAGTAACATAGCTGTACAAAAAATTACAGGGACTCTCTTAGAAGTATCATGAACAGTTAAATAGGTTGTACTATAAAAAATGGAGTAAAATCAGGTCATTCCACAGTCTGGAACAGCAATTTGAGTCTGCTTTCTATGGATATTTCTACATCTTCATAATATACCCAGGAGTTACATTAGTGTTATCTGGGGAATTTTGCTTTTCACGTATCATTTTAAACAGGAGTTCGTATTTAGGCAGAAGCAGAACACTAGTGAGCGAGTGGAATGCAGAATGGGACTTCTCCCCCTCCTTAATAGCTTCAAGAAAGATCATGTCAAAGCCATTTAATGCAAATCTTAATGGTAGATTAAACATCTGTTGCCTGTTAAGACAAAATCACCAACAAAAAAGCGCCCCAAAAACAAGACCCCCAAGCAACAAATCCCCACATTATAATGTCAAACTTGAGTAATGTGTTGTTTGGAAAGTCAGATTTTCCCATTAGTTTGTGAATTTTATATAAATAGTTTAGCTTTAACTTGATCTTTTCACCTCAGTAGAGAGAAAATTGTTCCTCCTTCCTTAAAAATGCTACTTAAATAAATGTCATTTGCCTTCTTCCATACAGTGGTCTTGTGCCTCTTCATAATGCATGTTCATATGGACACTATGAGGTTACAGAGCTGCTGCTTAAGGTAAGCAGAAGGGTGGAAAGTAATTACTGTAGATTTAGGTATTCATGAGTTATGAACTATTTATACTAGAGCTGAAAAACAAGACCTTTGTTTTTGTAGTAACAGGTTTCAAACATCCTATTGTCATTTCAGAAACCTGCAACTTTAGGTTTTTGTGTGGAACAGTGTATGTGTTTTTTCCCCACCTAATTTCTTTGGACTGATAGTAGAGTTTAATTTATTTGAATTTTTCCATGCAAAAATTAGCTTACATAGAAATTCCAAATTTTTTTTGAGGATTCAAAAGTATTTTTGTGTATACTGATATTTTAATTACTTTTTGTGTGTGTGTGTTCATATTCGAAAGAGTGGAACCGACTTTATTTAATGAAATGAAAATTTGTAAGCTTTTTAGTTGTAGAAGATGATTTCTTACTAATCCGAGGCTTTATTTGCTGTGCCAGCATGGTGCCTGTGTGAATGCTATGGACCTCTGGCAGTTTACCCCCTTGCACGAGGCTGCTTCCAAGAACCGTGTGGAGGTCTGCTCCCTCCTGCTGAGCCACGGCGCAGATCCCACGCTGGTCAACTGCCACGGCAAGAGCGCGGTCGATATGGCTCCGACGCCTGAGCTCAGGGAGAGGCTGACCTGTAAGTGTTCTCAGACTGCAAACAGTTGGTGGTGGGTGTAAAGGGATGCTTTCCTTTCGGGACAGCTTCCTTGAGTGTCACAAGTGGATGCAAAGCAGCAGAGGAGCTGCAGCTGTGCTGCTCACTTTGAAGTATGCAGGTACCTCTAATATACTGTTTGTGATATTGCCCAGTTTTCTTAAGTGTAAAATTATTAAGGCACTGCTGAATCAGTGACTGTGGGTTTTTTAATGCTTGAAGTCCAGTTGAGTCACATAAGAGCCTCTATACTGAGGTTCTTTATTGCGCTTAAATGGAAGCTTCCAAAACGTAGGTACCTTCGGTGTGCAAACTTGGAGGTTGAAATTCCATCACCTTCTTTTGCAGTCTTTGCAATCCTTATGCTGCTTACAAAACAGTCTTTCAGCTCTAATTTGAATTCCTGTGTCTTTGCTAGCCCTCTTTGAGGGATTTGTTTTCTCAATGTAATAAACTGTAAAAGATAATTAATTGAGACAAGTATGGAAACAGAGTATTATGAAGTTACAGAAAACTTCTTGAGAACTAGATTCTCAATTATAAAGTTTTTGGTTTTGTCTGTCACCTTTCCAGTAGAGCAGAAGCCCCCTGACGCTAATCATGTGATCCTGCACTACTCACAATCACAGATAGTCAGGTTTTAGTCTGTCACTGTTCTTTGCATGTGAAGGTGGTGAGATCATGTACGGCAGAAAACTTTAATCTCGGAGAAAAGAGGAGGACATTAGTACCTTTTACCTACTTCTCTACTTTGTATTGTGAGCTAAAGTGGAAGATGCTTCTGGCTCTGAGGAAGGTTAATTTACCATGTACTTAAGTTAACAAGCAAAAAAAAAAATCTATTTAAACTTCGTTTTATTTCTATATGTATAGTTCCTCAAGAGTAATGGAGAAGGATTCATATCCATTAATATCCACTGAAATTTGTATACGAATGTGACCATTATGTCAAATTTGACAGTATCTTGATGGGACATCTTGTATTTTCATATGCCAAATATCATGTTTATTATCTTCTTGAGTTGTTTGATTTTTGTACGTTGGGAATAAAATTACATTATATTTGTTATTTCAGGATTTATTTGTACTTGTGCTTTGAGTAGTGCTCTGTTTACAAAGAAATTTGAATTATATTTGAAATTAAAATTTAGAAGTTATTAATATTTATTTCTATGTATAAATCCACAAATACACAAGATGTTAAAACAAAGCTGGGAGAAGAAAACACCTCTTTAACAAGTTTAGTATTTCAAGCTTGCTTATGAAAGAAAAATACTGATATTTTTACTGAAATCAAGGTGGTTTTTTTTCCTAGTTCCCAGGGTCAGACATCATTTTTGCTAACCTACCTTTCATATGTATATTTTAAGAGAAACACTCTCATTCCTTTTCACATTCAAAGTTATTTAAAACTAAAATGAACTAGTTGCTGACCTAAACAAGATGTGAACATAACAAAATTACTTCTCTGTACTTGCAAAGACATATCCACTGTCAAAACCTGTCTCTCATCTTCACAGCAGACTGATTTCAAATGCTTAGCCAGTTAGCTTTCTTTAAGACCAATAGTTTAATATTTTATGTATGCATTGTTGTTATTGTTATTATTTATAATTTTATACAAATTATTTCTATTTAGGCTTTACAGTGAATTTTTTGTCATTGTAAATATAATAGGGTTTTTGAAAAGCTACTGTAATGCGTTTTTTCTGAAGAATATGTCATAGCACTGTGCTTACTTGAACTCATACATAGGTAATTTAGAGGTCACATATGCATTTAATGTCAAGTGGGTGGAGGATAAGAGGGGGAAAAGCTATAAGGAGTTTACTCAAGGAATCACTTCTTCTCTCCTTTAGAATGTCCCTTTCGTTTCAGCAAAACATATTTTGTGTTCTGTGTCCAGGTCAGCTACTACCTGAAGACATGCAGAAACACTCTTATTTCCTCATAATTGACTATAGCTACTTGTCTCCTGTAACATTTATAAATGTGACATGTTGCTGAATATTAAATGCATCTTTTTCCTCTAACAGATGAATTCAAAGGACACTCTTTACTGCAAGCAGCCAGAGAGGCAGACCTAGCCAAAGTGAAAAAGACACTTGCTTTGGAGATCATTAATTTTAAGCAACCACAGTCTCATGAGACTGCACTGGTAAGATTATACACTCAATCCATTTGTTTTATGATAAATGTGGTGGTAGTTTGGCAGTCAAGGATTTTTATTTCTACACTATGAAAATACATTAATCATCTGAGATTGAGGGTTTGCCATCAAACACTTTATATATTAAAATAAAATCACTGTTACAGAAAACTCCATATAAATTATTTTATCACTTTTTTCTTCCTTCTAGTAGATTACAGAAGCCCTCCAACCACTCCCCACCTTTTCTTTTTCCACTTCTCTTGCTTTTTTCCCCATCACCCTCTTTTTTTGTTGGTCAGTTGCTGTGTTTTTTCTGGGGTTAAATTCTGTCCTGCGGTCCAGTGTTTCCTTCATGTTTTATATGGACAAGCTTGGATTAGAATTTTTCTTCATAGGGTTTGTAAACTTGTTGTGAAAGGGTCTTACAGGATTGGAATAATACTGACAATGCCACATTAGCTATGGAAACAGGAGTCTTTGAGACTTTCCTGGCAGTATCCTGCTCTTATTTCATTGTTTGAAGAAGCAGTGGAGGCAAAGAACACAGCCAGTATCCCAGATGCAATGAAGATATTGAAGCTGAGTGGGACCGATGGTATTATTAAAACCACTATAGCTGTGATACTTTATTCCAGTGGAACATTTTCTTCACAGTGGTAGATCTCAGCCGTAGGCTGATACAACTGCATATTTAGTGTTACAAACATTGTGATTGTGATCAGAACACTGTGTATTGAGTACCAAGCATCCATATGTTCTGTTTCCTCTGTGGAGGACTCAGCATCCTAACCTGAACTTAGAAGCAAGATAGAGAAGAGAGATTTATAGACTGAATGTGAAAGCAGTATGAAATTTGCAATGACGTTATCCTTTTCTTCCTGAGTATATCAGCTGCTGCTGTGTGACATCTCTTTAGCTGTGTAATGATCACTTCATAGTCCTATGATGTTCTTTGCTCTTTTCCACCTGCTCGTTCTGCAGAGACAACTGGGCCAAACGGGATATTTTAGCTCTACTGATGTATTTGTTTCAGTGTTCAGTAAGTGTTTGACTGTGATTTTTCAATTTTTGCTTCCTGTACTTGAGATTTCCAAGTGGTCTCCAGTCCACGTGGAAGGCCTTATTTTCCAGGATCTGGTGACGTTATGTACAATCTAACTGAGCTGTTCCTGCCTTAAGCATAATATTGTTTACCATGAGCCACTGGGGTCTGTGCCCTATTACCCCACAAAGGCCAAAACAAGTACTTGGGTTTTTTTCAGTGTTGCTCTGAAGTTTGGCAGTATTTCACACTTTTGTGTGTTTTAGGGCTTGTTCATCATATTAGCAGGAACTACAGATAGGATATTGTCTGCAAAGCCTTAAAAATGCTGCTACTCTTCAAAGCAAATGTTGATCTTTGTGTTTATTTACAAAGCTTGCCTTTGCAAAACTTGGATGTGCCCTGCTGACCAACAGAAATGTGAAAGCTTGAGTGGAAGTTACTTCCTAGTGAAGGCTGAAACTGGGCAAAAGATGGTTATTGGTACTATTGCTGCTTATTAGCATTGGGTTTGGGGTTCTATCTCATTGTAAAGGCTGTTGTTTTGCTATTAGAAATTTAGAGAACTCTGTTCCAGGAGACTCTCTGGTTTTTATGATTTTTTATGGGTTACTGGTTTAAAACATAGGTAAACATGTTAACAGAAACATCCAAAAGTTTCTCCTTTTTCTTATAGTCTGCTTTCTTGAGACATCCAAACTTGAAACAGACATTTCTGGGCTGATTTTAAAGCCTGCTGTTCGATCTTATCTGGAACCATGCTGGTAATTTCAGGCCTCAGGAATGCATTGATAGAGCCACTGTTGGGAAACAGTGGCAGATGCCAGCTGCATTTAGGAGAACAGTTACACCTAGCAGGGCGCTGTGTAGGCTGTGTCCCACAAGGGCAGGTGTGAGCATTGAAAAGCCCTGTGTGAAAGGTCTGTCTTTCTCAGAGCATGTTAAAAAAGAGACTGTAAGAGAAATTTATTGCCTGTTTGCTTATTACATAATCTGTAGTTGGGTTCGTAACACAAATAGCCAAAAACAAGTTCAGGACACTTTGAAGTAGAAGAAGGAACAAAGCAACATACAAGTCGTGTCAATCTGACAAGAGCAGCAGAATCTTAAGGACTCTTTTGGAAGACCCCTGTAGAAAGTTAGGCTGTTTCAAACTGTTTGTCTTTACCTCCTGTGTGCATTATGTGTCAGTTTTGTCCTGATAGCTGGTTAATGTATTTGGGACCATACTGCTTTTTTTGTAAGTGACAAATAGCTTTAAAATGAAAACTGTTTTTCTGGGTGGAATAATTTAGCATTGATCACTAGCTTGTGTTTGTTCAGTATGTTAGATTTCAGCAGAAATATGATGGATTCTGTTTGTAAATGTTGTCATCTGATTTTAGCAGCATAATTAAGAGATGAAGTAAAGTATGTTTAAGTTCTTTGAAATATAATTTATATTTACTTTTTTTTGCAGCACTGTGCTGTGGCTGCTGTGCATCCCAAGCGGAAGCAAGTTACAGAACTACTGCTCAGGAAAGGAGCAAATGTTAATGAGAAAAACAAAGAGTACGTTTCTGAAATTTCTGAATTTTCCAAAAGACTCTGTCATACTAAGAGTGTAAAACTAATATCTTTTTTTTTTTAATTTCTCTAGCTTCATGACACCTTTACATGTTGCAGCTGAAAAAGCTCATAATGATGTCATGGAAGTTCTGCATAAACATGGAGCAAAGGTAAATATACTTACATGTATTTTATTTAAGGCAAAAGGCAAGAAGAAGGGTTATGTTGGTTAAATACCATGTTAGTTTTTATGATAGTTATTGCTTTTTATTCTGTATGCCTTGTGCTTCTTGTGTTAACCTTGAAGAATGTTTATCTTAAATCAGTACAGGATCTTCAGGAAGTGCATTTGAAATTAGGTCTTCTCTCCAGGTATCTGAATACAGGTTTTAGGAGTCTAGCTTACTAATTTTTAGTGAATCTTGCTACTAATTTCTAATAAATGTGGTCATCTAGGTACCTCTTGTTGCTTTATCTTGTTGAAAATATCCCATGTCTGAGGTTGCTGACACCGAGTGTAGTAGTCTAATGCTGAGTATGCCTTAGCCCTTGCTTGCTTCTTATTCTCTCAGTGAGATCCTTTTGCTGTGCCCTTTAACTGTTGATAGGTGCTGACCGAAGTAATTTGTGAACTTACGGTGAAGCTTGTTTAGAAACACATGGTTCAGCAAATTATTAGTTAAAGGCACAGGAAAGTATAACTTTATTTAGAATGTGGTTTAAGCATCTTTCAGAAGTATTTCAGAATGATATTTTTCCAAATTTTAGCAGCAAACTTGACATTTATGGTAATGATATACTTAGTTACTTAATTTTCTCAGAAATTCTTCTTGGTGGATAATTTCTTTGCATGGGTTAAAATATAAATGATCTCCTTATTTTTGCTTTTAATAGGGCTCAGATTACTCTTTTTGAGTCTTCATTGTCATTCAGGAAGCTAGAAATAAAGAAATATACCTGTAATAAAAAGCTAATGTCACTTTTGCTGTGATAGGAAGTAAGAACAATGTAGTTGTATACATAGTTAATACTAAGTCTTTTTATTTTGAATCAGTGAGTTTTAATTTATAAGCCTGTATGATATCTCACTGTCAGAGTTCAGTATCTGATTCACTTCCACAGTACTTTAATGGCATCGTAAAATAGGTTGACAACAATACTGTGGCATCACGTTTGAGAATCCTTATGCAGTGGTAACTTCCCAAGAAAGCAGGGCCAGAGATAGTTATTAAAACCATTCATTATTATTTTCCCAGATTCACCCTTAGTAGCATACCTATGCACTGGAAGTGAAAAAAAATGAATTTTGCCATATTTTGAATAGATACCGCATGGCTTTATGGATCTGATTTTGCACAGGAATTGAGTACTGATAGTATTTGGTCAGGCACTGAACTGGACGTGCCATAGTTTCAAATGTACTGATACCAACATACTACCTGCTTTGAAATACAAGTAGTTGGTGTGCGCTGAGGCTTTCTGGAAAGCCTGCTACTGTACTTTAAGTGTTTAAATTAGTGCTCCCTTGAAAATCTAGCTCAGTGTAGTCAAGTTAGGAGTAAGCTCAAAGATCCTCACTGGAAGGCCAAATTTTATTGGTTTTGTCAGTAGTGTGTTCTTTTGATAGCTTTTATATCCTGAAGCAGGATTTTCTAAATCATGATCTGTGAGTCACTTGTGGACTGAATGATGGTGGTGAGTGGCCCACAGTTATCTGCAGAATAATGCCACACTGTGTTCTGTTGTTTATTCCATCGACAGTATGCAAATAGAGGTGGTCATTAAACCTCATTCTTCATTCATATCCTGTCTCCTGTGTTATTCTGAGGATAGCTGCTCACATTTATGATCTAGCAAAGCACTTAAGTGCATGGCAGGAGACCAATTGAAGTTAATATTAAGTATATATTTCCATACTGCAGTGGATCAGGTCCCTCTTTATCAGTGTCCAAAGTTTCTTAGCTGTAAAACAGTACATAATGCAACCATAATTTTTAATGAGAGATAGATCGTTAGGGTTTTATGAGGCACTTTGAAGTTCTCAGATGGGATATGCTCAAGAGTATTTATTAGTTAACTAGGCATATTTAATTACTCTAAAATGTTTGTCTTGCTTGGATATATCATTTGACCTCTTGCTTTCAAGATTGTGGACATGCAGTTCATCAGATACTTTTAACATTGATATTTCTTTGTTTCTAATTGTTGGGACATGGTAGCTTTAATCCCTGAAGCGTGATACAGGTTTTTGATATTTATTTTTTTAAAAAATTTATTGTGTTTCTGGAAATTTTTTATTAATGTTTACTCTTTTTGTGCCTTGAATTTTAGTTGCTTCATAAGATGTAACCAGATGTACTAAGCTGTTTGATCATGTTTAGTTGGTATTTTTTACAAGAGAGGGTTCTCACAGGCTGGTGGATCTAGTCCTACTGCAGTAGCAGCTTCGAACAGCATTCTCCTGCATTTTAAATACATCTTTTCCATTTTGATGCTTCCTTTGGTGAGGTGTTTGCAGTGAACAAACTGATTCTTCTAAGCCTTTGTTTTTGTAGGCTAAAAGCCTCAAACACTTAGTCATCCTTCATAAGGGAACATTGCCATTTCCTGTTTATGCTTATAACCCCTTCTCTTTACTAGCACCAGAAGAAATCTCGGAACTCAGGCAACAAGAATGGAATTCATTCCCCCACTGCCTTCCATGATGGCACTTCCATCAGATGGCACTCTGATGTAAATGCTGGACTGATGCATATTGGGATCATGTTTGCCTTTTTAATAGACATGAGATAGTAATACTCAGATCCTTCCTATAGTCTCGTAGTGCACAGAGAATCTTGATTATTTTTTTTTGCTAATTTTGTGTATTTGTGCCCCTCGGCACAATTCTCCTGTGCCAAGATCATTAATGCAAATAGTAGAATAAAATTGTCCCACAACCAACCACTGAGCAGCCTTCCCACTTTCAATACATTCAGTTCTTCAACCAATCCCTATTTTTTTCATATAAAATATTTCACATGTTTTCCCATATCAAATGCTTTCTGAAGTGTGTATGGGTGGCAGCTACCATGTCTTTTTTTTTACTTTACAGTCATTTCTTCTCTCAAAGGAGAGGTACTATACAAGTCAGCTTTAATCTACCTTCTGGACATAACTACTGATTATAGAGAGAGTAACAATTTGAAAAAGATGTGTAATTGGGGCTTCAAAGAACATGGAACTTTCTTCTTCTGAAATTCCATGCCAAAAGGCAGACAGCTGATCCACAAAATAACCAGTAACAGATTCAGCAGACAAAGTCATATCAAATTCTGAGGATTGAAAATAATTTGTGATTGTATTAGCAATAGAGAGGAAATTCTACTGTTTCCTTTAGGAGCAGCTGAGTCAGACAGCAAAAGTGGGCTAAAGTGAAGTATGCATGTTTGCTTAGTCTTTTCTTGTTCTGCAAAAAGAGCTGTAGCATGGCAAAGACAGCTTTAGGGAATTTTTGGGGGGTGAAAAAGAGATGGTTCCTGGTCTTGGAGCTGGATTTAATTTTATCGTTGTGTACATTTGCTGTTTGAAGTATGTTAGACGATAATAAACAGTGAAAGACTGCTTGAAAAACACGTGCTTGATCTAGACTTATTTTACAGAAAGATTTCTAGGAACGTTAGCATTGGCAAGAATTAACCTAAAGTCACAACTTGCTTATTTTGGTGTGTGGTGCTGGCCCTTACTGACAGCATAAACTAGGTTCATAATTTGAACTGTGAAGAAGTCCTTGGTGCAACATCCCTTGCACATCAGCATTGCTAAGCAATACATGTGCCCTGGAAGATATTTTCATTAGCTTGTTACTTGAGTTTGCAGAAGTTGACTGTCAATTGTGCATCTAAAGCACAAGTAAGAAACCTTGGTATTTCTTAGAATTTTTTTCAAGAATGTTGATCATAAATATCTGTGGTTTTAACTGTCATATCCAGTTTTTACTTGCTTGCCTGAACTGCAGTGTCAGACAGCATTTCACATCATGGCTTATTTGATGTTGAATATCCTCAAAGTACCATATGAAAAATAAAAGCAGAACATATTTAAAGAATCCTCAAACATAAACAATTTTTATTAGAACGATGAGCAAGTCTTCAAATGCCACAATTTTATCTTTGAAGATGATCAAAATCCTTCGTTTAAAAAGAAAATAATTTGAAGGTGGTGAGCTAGTGACAAAGTGAGTTTTATCCTGTTTTGTTGTATTGCTAGATAGTTGAATATTTTTTGCAACTAACTCCTTGCCCAAATTTACAGATCCATGGGAAATTTAATATGTCTGGAAAGACATTCAGCTTTGTAGTAGTGCAGAAGAACGGAATTAGAGTATTTTCTGAATCGGAATGATTGTTGGAAAGAAAAACCTTTATACGTGCAAGTTCACTGCTATCTTGGGCAAGTGTGGAGATGTCATGAATGCTCTTTAACTATTATACACCTCTAAAGGATACTGTTGAAACCATTCTTCTGCAAGAGAAAATGAGCCTTTCTAAGGTCATATCAGAGAGCAGAAACGATGGTAGCAGAAACGACTTCATTCTGCTCTGCTGGGAGGATCTTGCTTTATGGATCTTTGCATAATACAGATGTTTCTGTGCATTGGAGTAGCATGTTGTCAACCTTTCTTGATCATGGATTTGAAAATGGTCACTGTCTGTCTAGACCAACACAACAAACTGAAATGGTTTTGAATAACTGTGTTGTATAATACATTTGTGTCCAACATTTCAGGTAGAGATACAATTTTCTCTGTAAACAGTAAGCATTGAAAAATTAAATTTCCTTCATAAAGTAGGTTCTGGACTATAACAGTTATGTGAAGAACTGTGTGATCTATTGTGATTGAGTGGTTCAACTTTTCTCACTGCTGAGACACGCAAACATCCTGACATTAATCTTAAGCTTTTATGCAGAAGGGGCAGTTGTGGAACATCTGACCGGATCATGTGAGAGCTTCCAGAGTGAAACTGATCCTTTTTTTACTGCTTTTTTTCCTGCTGACAGAGCTTAAAATTGTCACCAGTGCCTCTTCACTCCTGTCATGTTTATTGTTACCAATGCACAAAGACACAAGACATACTGCAAGTTGTCTTCAGAATTAATGCACCAGGAGAGCAGTTAGAAGACTTGCACTGCAGGGAAGGATACTCTGATACTGGAACTGTTGTCTGAGTGCAGGTTTCACATGTGATTTTTAGAAAGATCTCACAGAGAAACTTGTTGCTTTTTGTGCTGCTGTAGTATCAAGGAGTAGGAGGATATTTAGGACATTTGATATTGACAGAAAGCTGATATGATTATGAAGTCTTGCAAAAAATGTTTCCTGAACAGGTCCCAGCTGTTGAGCTGCCACAAGTGCCTGGCAGCCAAGGGAATATTGCTATAACTGTGTATATTGCTCCAAGAGAGCAGCAGTGGGGGAAGGGGAAACTCTGCGGTGTCTGATGGTACATGAACATTTCCATTTCTCTACTGTATCTATTCAGGATGGGGGAAAGGAAATGAAGGGGATGAAAGGAAAGAACAGAAGGAAGTCTCCACTGGGAAATACTGTATAGGACAGTATCCTTCTGTGAAAAGCCTTACTTAAAAACTCTTAATTTGATAACTGCATTCTGTGTTTATGTTGTGTTTTGAGCAGTGGAATGACTCCTTTCATGCTAAAAGCTGAAGAAATCAGATTGAAAGCCAGTGTCCTGTGGAATAAAAGTTGTCAAACCTGTCATTTTTAACTCCTTGCAGAAAACTTCTCTGTAAAATAATTCAGAACTGCAAGCCTTCTAATTTCAGACTGCCTATAAAGGGGACCAAATGAATATTTATCATTTTTTGATAAGTGCAGCTGGAACAATCTACCTTCCCAGTGCAGAAATAAGGCAGTACACCTTGGATATTTTATATTTTGTCAAATAGGGCTTAAACTTTAGCTCTGAATTTGAAAAGGCATATGTTTTTAGACCTGGTATCAAACACTGGTTAGCCCAAGCATATGCTGTACCAGGTTTGGGTTTTATGAGACTTTAATCTCAGTTATGTATTTCAATTTGTAGTGCTCAAGTTGATTTTCATTTGGAAATAAATCTCGTTGCTTCCAGCCTTATTGGAGTACATTCTTTGTTTGGTTTTAGACAAGTGTTGCATTATTGGTGAGAGAAGACCTGCCCCAAAGTGAACACATTCCAAGTGAAATTGCCCTGCAAAGCATTTTTCTGCTTCTGAGGTAAAGAGCAGCTGCATTTGGTGCATGCATCCCTCTGTCAGCTGCAGCCCTTTTTGTCTCAGAAGCAAGCAGGTATTTCTTCAAATGGCTGACATTCTTCTGCCACTAGAATTGATTGTTTGCAAAGATAATGATTTAGAAGTGAAAGGAGACCTGGATAAGACATGTGAGATGATGGCTCTGATGACTGTGACAGTGTTCTTTTCAAATGAATATTAACATTTTTTCCAGGAACTTAGTATCGAGTTCTGCAGTGTGAATGCCTTGCTACTGTTGCTCCTACAGTTTGTTCAGTACAGGCATGTTTAACACAGGAATTCAGTGTTAAAGAAGACATTACTTATGATTTTCTTTCTTGGATGAACAGTGTTATCAGCTACTTCCAGAATTCACAAATCTCATTTCATTCTGCCTCTACCATCACTAAACGTGTATAGCCCCAGACCTCTGCTTTTCTCTGGGCCCTTCTCATTGCTGAAAGGTATCCAGTGTCCTGAAGTAGATGAGTATCCTCGTCTAAACAAAATGATGGATTTGGGACATTCAGCATCTATTTAATATTCATGATAGCAGTAAGTTTTTTATTTGAAACAAAACTTTTAGGGCAATCCCATTAGAGTGGCATGAGCTGAGCACAGTTAAAAGAAAGCAGAACTGTTCTCCTGTCCATCTTCCTGTAAGAGAGGTTTGTGATCTGAGAAATTTTTGCTTCATCAGTCTGTAAAATAGTTTCAGACTATATTGAATCATGCTTCTCTTTATTTGATTGGTTGTTCTTTGTTCTTTCTTGTGGCTTGATATTGTAGTATTGCAGGTATTTTACTTATTTTTTTACCCTATTTGGTAGTAGAGCTTTACATAGTTACTCCTCTAATTAAATTTCATTTAGTTATAGAACATGTGTCTTACCCAAGACGTTTTTTCATTTGTTTTTGTGGAAATGTAGTAGAGTTTGCATGATGCATTTTAGGTGATAAATAGCAAGCAAAACCTTTGTTTGCTGCCACTGCAAAGATTTTGAGAATGTAGAAGGGTGGGGTTTTTACAGGACAAAGTCTATTATGCACGCAGTTCACAGCCTGCAATCTGTAGGCTTGGAAACAGATAACAGGTTCTGAGTTGCTTGCAGAGAATATAGAGTAGTTCTGTATTTCATAAAGTGGTAAAAAAGCTGTTGGGCATTAGCATTTAAATTTGTAATGGATTGCTGCTAGGTACAGAGTATCTTCTCAAAAGGTTATTTTTATGGGGTGTTTTTTCCGCTTTTTAAAGCTCTCTATTATTCTTTGCCTTTCTTTGATAGTGTACCAGTGGAGATGCTTCTAGTTATTTAGGTAGTCTTTTAGATCTTGACAGACAGATATGTTTCCATTATCTCTTACTCTTTGAAAGCAATACTCCATTTTGCCTGTTTATGCAATCCTGTATTGAGTAGAATTATATCCAATTATGCTTAACATTTCTGTAAAGGCACAAAAAATGAGGAGGAAATGGACTGTTGTATCCAAGTTTTTTCCCCCATCCTTCACAGAATTCCTAGTTTGACATCTTTGTTTTGCATTAATTCTTGGTAGCGTGTAATGTTGAGTTAATTCTCCTTCTGAGAATGAGAGATGGTAATTTCCTTAAAACTGGAAGACCTTAGAATTGTTTGGTAAACTATTTATGTCCTTCTCCTCTTTTGTGATAGGTTTGCTTTTCTTACAAAAGGTCGGCTTCATCGAATTTTTCAAAAGCTTGATCGCTATTTTAAGTATGGTTTTGGGGATCCTATGTTGTCTGCTAGCTCTGCAAACAAATAACCTCTGTTGTTAAAAGACACGAAAATATCTATGGTACATTATTTTTCCTTTGGAGTGTTTTCCTGTTTTGTCATTTGGTTTTGTTTAATTTCAGTGCAGAGGAATTGAAAGATAAATTTGTCTGCCAGAAAATTCTTCTTATTAAGGACAGGGACAGGTGCAGGCTTTTAATTATAGCAGTGTTTTATTTTATATTGCTGCTGATTTTTCAGATGAATGCACTGGACACACTTGGTCAAACAGCGTTGCACAGGGCTGCATTAGCAGGTCACTTGCAAACCTGCCGGCTGTTGCTGAGTTACGGCTCTGATCCTTCCATCATCTCTTTACAAGGCTTCACAGCAGCACAGATGGGAAATGAAGCAGTGCAACAGATTCTAAGTGGTGGGTAAAAATAAAGGATTGTGTTTTTGAACTTCAGTTTCTCCCTTTACAGCTTTGTATCTTATTTCTTTTTCAATGTAAGAGACTTGCAGTACTTTTCTCATCTATCCCTGTGTGATACTTGTCAGAAAATATAAATACGTAAATAAAGAGCACTGATCAGTTCAGTGATTTTGTGCAAATTGGGAAGAAAATAAACCTCTTGTGGATTTAGAGCATGCTGCTATACAGGGAACTTTAGGAAGGCAGGTAGGGAGTTTTGGGGCTTTTTTGGTAGCAAGTTCCAAGGCAACTGGAATATCGCTGAGCATGTGGGAAACCTTCTTCCCTTCACCGGCCTCCCTGTTAGGTACTCTATACTCTAGCAGTCACAAGTAGAGTGTTACAGGCAGAAAAACTCTGATATTGGCTAAGCTGTTTGGACTTTTACTTCAAATCCATCACTTGTCCAGCAGAGAAAGATTTTGTTGTTAAAGTGCTTAGATAACAAACTGCGTAGATAACAATTTGTTTATATCTTGCATTGAAGAAGTGAATGAATGTTTAAAGAGGGTGCCACTGTTTTTCCTGTAAGTGCTTAAGGGTTTGCATCCTCTTATGCATGTTACAGTTGAATTTTTGCAAGTACAGAGAAGAATACTTGCATCAGTAGCAACTACAGAGGAAGTAACTCACCTTACAGTGAGATGTGCAGGTAGTCAAGGAAAAGCACATATCTGGATAGATGAGAAGATCTGTGGTAGCTAGAAACTCTATTTCCTCCAATGTTTTCAACTTTATTGTTTTAAAACAGGACAAAAAAAAAAAAAAAGGCATTTTACAGCAGTACAAGGAAGGACTGTTTTGAAGTGTACCCACTCCTGAGATGTAGCTGGTTACACAGATAGCATTACCAGTTTAAAATGTGCACATGAATGTATGTATGTGGATTGAGAGAGAAGAATGTCAGCTCTAGAGTCGAAAATTTACTGGTTTACACTGAAACTAAGACTCCTTATTCAGCTTTTTCGTTGAACATCACAACCCCAATTGCATTTTTACAGATTACAACAAACCAACTCCACCCCCCAATTTTGGAAAATATGTTGAGCACAAGTTAATATAACTTAATTATCCTAAGTAATCCTAAACATCTTTATCCCTGTGTAGAAAGTACACCTGTGCGCACATCAGATGTGGATTATCGGTTGTTAGAAGCATCTAAAGCTGGAGACTTGGAAACTGTGAAGGTAGGTTTGAGCAGTTCATGTTAATTTTCCACTTTGCATCACTGTGCAAGGCTTGTGGAAGCCCATGCTATGAGAGTTGTGGAAGTAATACCCAGTGAAAGGTACATCATAAAAAATGCTGAAGTGTGTTTCTCTTGAGTTTTTGGTTGCTCATTTTACCAGTCCTTCACACAGCCTTTGATGGACTCAGATGTAGCCATAATTCTTTGAAGTGAACCCTGTGATTTGCAGAATCAGTTTAGTAGAAACAAGCCTCAAGTGCATGATTCAATCAGAAGGCAAGCAAACACTATTAACAGGTAGCAGACTTCTTATTTTAAGCCATCCTTCATCTGAAGGTGAAGGATCAGGCCATGGACTCCCAACATCATAGGAAGGTTTGATCTTGTCTTTCATACTTGGTGTGTGGGCAACATGGCCTGCATATAGACTGTTCTGCATACATTCCTGCCTTGAGCTTCAACATGATATATATTAATATTCAAACAGCAGCAGTTTTGTGCACCAGCAGCTTCTCTGACTGCTAAGCTCAATATTTCTAGATTTCTGAAGGCAGCATGGGCTGGAAATGGTAACATATCTGGAAAAAATTACATGGCCTTGAAACTGGTACTTCATGATGTAGAGGTTCATCCTTTCTAATACCTTAGGAACTTCTTCATACTGCTTCCATCATTTAAGTCTTGTTTGTTATAGAGGTACTTTCAGCCATAAATTTAGAGCAGTTATTTTTTTAACTTTATCTAAGTGCAAACAAATTTCCTGATACTTAACTTCTGAAAATTTGTATATAATAATAAATAGTTTGGGGTCTCTGGAGGTGGTAGTTTAGGCTTTTTCTTTTGGGTTTGTTTGATTGGTGTTTTGTTGGTTTTGGTTGGTTTTGTAGAGTTTTTCTATTTGTTTGGTTTGGTTCTGTACTAGATTTTGGCTATTTTTGTCTTTGCAGCAACTTTGCAGCCCTCAGAATGTGAATTGTAGAGATCTGGAAGGCCGTCATTCAACACCACTGCATTTTGCTGCAGGATATAACCGCGTATCAGTGGTGGAGTATCTGTTGCACCATGGAGCAGATGTGCATGCCAAAGATAAAGGGTACATTGAATTCCATGAGATGCTGTTTTCTATTAGTATGAGACTTATATCCTGCATATTCATTTTGCTCAGATCTCAGTAACCATCATGTTTTTCTCTTGAAAATTTTTCTCTTTCCTTTCTTCGTGTTCTGCTTTGTTCCTATGCTGTAGGGAGATTTATAGACCATTAAGGCATACTTTGCTTTTTGGCAAAGCCATTGTCAAGTACACTGTAGTACATGATACTTCTCCCTTTTGCCCATTTTGGAGACTTTGTTGTGCTTAAAAGCAGCCTTTAACTTGTTTTAGGTGATCTAAAATTAGTTTTGAGTAGAATGGGGTAAAATACTAGGGTTATCTCTGGTTATTTTCCTAATTCTGTTAGTTAGGTTTTATTATTAAGTTATTTATTGAGTTAATATTCAGTTAAATTATATGAACCATTTACAGGTTTTTGCATTAATTGCAAAGCAGTCGTGTAGAATAGCATGATTATGTTTGATCTTTCACTCCAATATATTAGTTCAGGGTGGGGGATAATTAATTTCCCATACTGAATTTTCAGACTCTTCCTGAAAGAAATGTTTGGGCATCTTTCTGTGTCTCTCAGATGTAAAGTGCTTACCTAATAACTGTACTTCAAACACTTTATATAGTGTTATATCTTTTCTGGAATTTACACTCAGTATCCAACTGAGAACAGCAGTGAGTCTTGCAGTTTAGATTTTGGCTGTTGTTAAAAGCATTGAAGTTACGTGCTTGTGGAAGCAGTAACAGCTGGGCTTGCTAAGTATTTAAGAGTCTCGTGGATGAGAACTGAAGGAGGATAATTAAGTTTTAATTGATATTTTAATAGAAGAGAAATAAAACCATGAAAACTGGAAAGACTGAAAGTTACCAATAATGTCTGGTGAAGTGGGAGTTTTATCTACTGGAACTTTATAGGATTGCATATTGGATTTTATTCTCTTTAGCTATTAATACTTTCTCTTTGATTAGTGGCTTGGTACCCCTACACAATGCCTGTTCTTATGGACACTACGAAGTGGCTGAACTCTTAGTGAGGCACGGTGCTTCTGTCAACGTGGCCGACCTGTGGAAATTCACTCCTCTACATGAAGCAGCAGCAAAAGGAAAATATGAAATCTGCAAACTGCTTTTAAAAGTATGTGCTGGAGTTCTCAGATGTGTATTTGTCCTGGTTTTAGCTAGGGTAGAGTTAATTTCTTCTCAGTAGCTGTTACAGTGCTGTTTTGGGGAGGGGGAAAGACAAGGAGGGGTTGAGAGAGTGGCTGCATGATGCTTAATTTCCATCTGAGCTTAAACTACAACAGTCCTTAAATTCATGTATGTTTATTTTTCTGAAGATTAATTAATGCAAAGTTAATAGCACTCAGTGAGTTCTTGTGGTATCTTTGAATCAATTTTCATCTGACAATTGTCAGGTGATTTCTTGTGTTATGTCATTCATTTACAAAGTACATGTACTCTTTGCAACACAGGTATTAATACTATTAGCCAAGTAGGACAAGACTCTCAAACTGGAAAAACCAGCTGAATTTGTGTAGAAATACAATCCCCCCACCTTGTCTTGTCCATCCTTTTCTGGAACAGTCACTGCATTTAAGTAAATTTTGTTAATACTTATGCAAGAGGGTGCTACAGAGCAATAACTGAAGGTGGGTCCTAAATGGTGTTTGGTATGAGAGAAATTTAAAACTGTTATGTTAATGTATAATTTATCAAGCTTCTGGAGGAAATGCATATTAATATGCTGTGGCATAAATATTCATTATACTTAGTGGAAGAACCTGTAAAAAGCATGAGGTAATGCAAAGATGTTTCCAGTGAGAAACATGAGTCTGAGAAACTTCTTAACATAAGGTCATATCCTGCCGTGGGAGGGTGAGAGAGGGTGCTAGAGCAGAATTTCTTGTCAGTCCTATTTCCTGGTTTCAGCCTTGCCTACTTATGTCCCTCTGAAGCACAACATTTAAAATGGGAGTAAATCAGAATATCGATAGTCTTAAAATAATGAGAATCTTCCGCAGCAGCCTTTCATTTGCTACTACAAAGTCCTGATATTTCCCTCCCATCTCATTCATTATTTCACTTAATTGCCAAAAAAGCAGTCAGAGAGAGTAACACATTAGTTTAAAACACATCTACAGCAGGAACCAGAAGATGTTCAAATATGTCTGTGGAGTAGGCATGATGATGGCCATGGAAGTAACAGCTGAATACAGAGATTAGCTCAAGCTATAGGAGTACTCGTAATCTCTGAAGCACAGTGTTGGTTTATAGACACTGGAGTTCTATTGCCTTTTCTGATCATTCCACTGGGAATTTAGCCATATTTTGTGTTCAGAGGATCCTGAATGGATGTGCAATGGGAAATAGAAAAGTGCTGAAATTTATTTTTTTTTAAATCACTCTTGCACAAGAGCTAAAATATGCCCCTAAGGTGACAGATTTGTAAAGGCTCTGGGTGTCTGTGGAGATGTGCTCACACTGCAGCTTGCACCGGGTTTCTCCTCTGTGTCTCTTATGCCAGCTGGCAGTGTTGTCAGTTCCGCTGAGTTGTGGATGTTGAGCTTGAATCCTCCTGACTTGTGCTCCTTCTCTCCTGGTCTGCTTGAAGAAGGAAACAAAAATATACTGGCATTTTGGAGACACTGTCTTTTTTCATCACCTTTCTTTAAAATTACCACCTTCATTTGTTTCTATGCCTTGAAGGGGGTCTCAGAAGACACTGCCTCTTCATTCAGATACTTATTCTGGAGCATATTTGAATAGTTCCAATTTTGATGAGTTTTAAATTAAGAGATTTAAGGTCATATATTGGAGAAATCATTGCAGTTTAAAGGGCTTTGTGCAAAGAGTACTCTCTTCCTAAAAGAACCACAGATGTGGAACTGGTTCTGTGTAATCAATACTCTGTCCCTTTCTGTCCCTTGCTGTTTATCCTTTACACCCTGAGCATAGTTGTACTGCTTCCAAATACAAGGCAGTTAATTCCTTCTGTTCTCCACATTCCCAGCTCATTCCCTGTGGCTCACACTAACACAGATTTGCCAGCATGTCCAGTGGGAAATGGTAGGGCAGACTTGCTGGCAGGGGTTGGACCACTTGTTTGATTATTCTAAAGAGACCAGTCAGAGAATACAATGCCAGCAGCTGCTTCTGCCTTATCTATCTTTGTTTTTTTCCACTGCTGCTGAGAGTGAACAGGGAAGGAGCTGTCCTCCCACAAAACTGAATGTGGACATGACTCACACCATATGCTCTATATAGCTGTATGTTCCCCTTCTCATCTACTGGTGCTCCAGTTCTGTGTTCTTATCACTGCCTGATCTGCTTGCATTACCAGTAGAGATGTACTCCAGCAGTCATCCACCTCCACTTATCCACCAGAATTTTTTCTTCACTGCTTTCGAGGACCTATAAACTGCTTAAGATGCTTCTGTTATCTATTGGAATGTGTAGAGAAGAGTATTTTTCTAATTCCCTTCTGAAACAAGTGCCTTTTAATAGCAGGGTGGCATTTAGTAAAACTTATAGCCTGGCTTTGCTAGCTCAGAAAGTTGTGCTAAGGAAAAACCTCTGCCAGCCATTTGATTCCTGCCAGTTTTCAGGAGAAGGGGAGGACTGGCAGCAAAGTGCTTGCAGTTGGCTTTTCTTTAGCACCTGCTGTGACAGTAGGAAATAGCTATGCAGGACGTGATTCTGAACGTACTTCAGTTGCAAGCAGAGCAGTGGCAGCTCTTGCGGAGGGTTGCCATTTTTGCCTATGGAGTTGAGATTCATACAGCTGTGTTTCAGACTAGTGCTGTTAGGCCTCAACCTCCTGAATTAAGTCTCATGTGCAGTTACTTAATGATGGTAGGTCAGCAAAATCTCCTTGCCTTCTATCTTGTTCCATGAAATAGCTGCACACTTACGTTCACTGCTCTGCTCATGATTGTGACAGTAACATTTGGCTTTGCAGCATGGAGCTGATCCAACAAAAAAGAATCGAGATGGGAACACTCCTCTAGATTTGGTGAAAGAAGGGGACACAGATATCCAGGACTTACTGCGAGGAGACGCTGCCTTGCTAGATGCTGCCAAGAAGGGGTGCCTGGCACGAGTGCAGAAGTTATGTACTCAAGAAAATATCAATTGCAGAGACACCCAGGGAAGAAATTCAACACCGCTACACCTTGCAGGTGGGTGACTCACCAGGTTTTGTGGTATATTTGTGGTTTGTACATTTGTGGTAGACTAAGGGTATATTTCACCCAGGGCTGGTATAAGAAGAGTTCCGCAGAGAACTGTCCTGTACAAAGAGTTAACCGTGGCACTTATATTTCAGGAGGTAATACAGTTACTAGGGAAGAGGAACTTTTGTAGCGGAAAAATTGCCTTAGCTTTTCTGTCTAATATTTTTCTTTAGTTTAGCTCTCCTAATTTCTTTTCCTGTGCTTTTCTACAGCTGGTTACAACAATTTGGAAGTAGCTGAATACCTTCTTGAGCATGGTGCTGATGTTAATGCCCAGGACAAAGGAGGATTAATCCCCCTACATAACGCAGCATCCTATGGGGTAGGTGCAGGCATTCTTGCCATAAGTAGACCAGCAAGGAACTCCTTGAAGTCATATCCAAAGCCAGATATTTTGCAGCTGTCTTTCTGTGAAAATAGTTCAGGTTTTGATGGCGTGAAATATTTGTTGGGCTGAGTTGCTGTTGTGAGTGCTGTTTGCAGTCCTACAGATCTAAATAAGACACAGATCCAGGTGTGCTGTAGCAGTTAAAGGCTGCAGTTTGGAAAGATCACTACAACATAGCTTTTATGCAGGCAAGCAGATGCATAGGATTGAACACTGTTAAGTTTGGGGTGACATTTGAAACAGAAAAGAGCTCAAGTTGTCTCTGAAAGATGTAGATGGAAGGAAGAGAAAAATACCAGGGGATCGTGTGCAGGTGACGATAGGGAAGTGGAAATCTGTTGCAGCTGGTGTCTGGTGGGAAGCTATTGCTACAGCGTTGAAGGGCTACTGTGTTCATAATATGGTTGTCCTTCAGGGCAAGCCATCTGCTGCAGTGGGAGTCCAGTGGTAGATTGAAGCCATTTTGGATGAGGCAGGCCCTTCTTCCTCCATATAGAAGGGAGCATCCCTGTACCAGTTGCACAGATGCCTGATAGATTGCTTATAAGCAGTTGTTAGTTGTGGATGGGGTCAGAAAGAAATCTTGTGCAATAATTGTACAGAGACAGTGCTTGAGAAGCTCCTAGCAGTGTGCTTGCAGTCAAACAGAAGACATGAAGCTCAAGAAGTTGTAGTGTTTTTGATGGTCTTGTGATGTGCTTTGTCTGTTACTACCTGGCCTGGCACAAGACCATCAAAATCTGGGAGAGATGATCCTAATAGAGACACAAGTTGAAATAAAAAGTACAGTGTTCACCTTGTTTTTAAGAAGAGCATGAATGAAACTCGTTCTACATCATTTGCATTGGTTCTTTAGGTCAGTCTGGATTCCTACTGTCCTAAAGAGCAAAAAGCTCCAAATCCTGATGAAATATGAGAAATGCAACACAGAATTGTTTTATGTTACTGGGTCCTAATACCAAGCAATATTGTTTATCATATACTTACTGCTATAAATATTAATTCCGAGGATGTTGCTTAGATCTAGAGATAAATTCTGTTGCAAAGATTGTGTTCTGGCATGGGAAACTATTATATGTGAAGCCAAAGCATCCCTAACTGGCTCAGATAAATGTTAGAAATTCGTTTGAGCTGATTATCACTTCTAAAATTCATAATGCCAATCTAATTACTTTCTCTTGGAAGAGTTAACTAGACGGTGTTTAATGCTTTTCTATCAGCTTATTTAGTTAAGAGTTGCTGTATATCTTTCCTGTGGCATCCCACACTTCTCTCTGAGCTGTCATCAGCCTGTTTAGGTCTCTGTAATGGGAGGTAGAGAGATGAGTACAGGTTTCACAAGTTCATAGCTGGCAGGTTTCACAGGCTCTGCCTTTTCCTCACAAAGTATCTTCAGTTCTCCCATCCAGTACTTCATGCTGTGTGACCCTCAGTAGGTCTTCTGCAGCAGAAAAATCACAGTAACAACAATTACTTTAAAAGTTTAAAAGTTGCAGAGAGGAAAAATAAAGTCTCCAGTATTTTCAAATCACACTTGTTCAGAGAGCAAGCCGTTCCGTGAGAGCTACAAAGAGTCATTTAATTGCCAGTGAGGGGAAAAATGAAATCCATTGGCAAGTGTTTGTGCTTCTGCTTACAAGTTCAGTGTTTCATCCTCCTACCCACTCATTTTGACTACGTGCTTTTTTATTTCTTAGTTGTATTGCACGAAAAAAAAATCTACTGGTCAGAGGCAGGCAAAAATTTTATTTGCCAGTTTTCCATTCTCTTATATTTCTGGGGAGACTCTAAGGATGGGATATTGATGGAAGTGTGGGGTTATAAGTTCATTACTTTTATAGCCCGTGTAAAACAGTTCTCCCTTGTGACACTCATAATGCATTTTATCAATTACAGCTCCCATAAAATATTATTGAAGAAAGAACTAATCTGTGCTGGCACAGATAGGTTCAAAGTCTTGCAAGAAATTGCAAGAAAGAAAGTACAATAGAGACTTCTGTGTACAGACAGTACATATTCTTCCGTGTACAGACAGTAGCACAACACATTGATCTTCAGAGCTTCTAGTGTTGTATCACAAATGTAGCAGCCATGTAAATTTGCCAGTTCAAATTTGTCCATGAATATTTTTTTAGATGCAGGATCGAGTATCACGTCTGCTTCTGCAGCTGACACAAACTTCATGTCATGTACTTAGGGTGATTTGACAGAAATATAATGCTGTGCCTGATCCCAGTTGTTAATGTACTGGTGAATGATCTGGTAGTGCACAGATCCAGATGACTATGGAGCTGCAATATAAACTGGTACCTGAAGAAGTGTGCTGCTACATAGACACAGAAGGCAGAATGAGTTAAAGGAAAGAGAAACTATGGGGGTCTCTAGGCACCATTACCTCCAGCATGAAAAAGGAAATATATGTTTTACTAGTGTCATGTTGATTAAGATGTTCTTGTGTTTTCCAGCATGTGGATATAGCAGCACTGTTGATCAAATACAATACATGTGTAAATGCAACAGATAAATGGGCATTCACACCATTGCATGAAGCTGCACAAAAAGGAAGGACACAGCTCTGTGCTCTGCTTTTAGCTCATGGAGCAGATCCAACCATGAAGAATCAAGAGGGTCAGACACCACTAGACCTGGCAACAGTAAGTTCATGTTAGCATGCCAGCCACAGTCTGCTCTGGAGGATTTGTTCTGCATGTTAAATTCCTTTCTCTGGTTCCATGACATCAGGGGTCCTCAGCTTTCATTGTGCTGAGATGGAGAGAGAAGAGCATCTCCAGAATGCCTATTTGTGACTTTTTACCCATCAGTCCAGGCATTTTCCTTTGGCTGAGATCTTAACATGGGTTGTGATTTAAGGTTTGCTTCTGCTTAAGGATTTAATCCTGGGATCAATCTCCTCATTTCCAGAAATAAAACTTTATGAAATGTCCCTTATGATGGTCAATCTGTATACTGTTGATGATCATTTCTTTGAACCTAGGAGGAACACCAGATGGGCCTTTAGAGAAATGGGATCATTTAGAGGATGAATATGCTCAGTGCCTCCACATTACCTCAGTTCTTTTTTTTTTGTAACTCCAAAACAACATTCTGAAATTTGTAGGTGGCTATCAAACTTTTTCTGAAACTGGCATCTGTAAACTTTCTTGTTAGTGGTGGCTGCTTGAAAAGCCTAATAAAGTTACATGAACATGTATGTCCCAGGTTAACCAGTCTTGATGGAATAGATCATGCATCCAAATTGGATGCTCTGTCTAGTTACACTGTGAGTATCTTTTAAGGTCATTGATTTATTTATGGAGAGTTCAAGAAATATCCCCCAGAGTAAACTGAGCTTTAGAAAACTTGCTTTGTGATGAAGGATATGAAAATTACTTGATTTCTCTGAGGGTAAATAAGGATGTCCTATTTTGTTCTATTCTACAAGAACTTGCAAGAGGGAAATTCTAGAAGATGAGGGTCTGTCTTAATTTAGTCAATAAAGGCTAAATCCAGTTTTTAGCTAAGTTCATACTTCTCCTGAGCTCATGTCTTTTTTTTTTCCTGTTCTAACACTATGAGATATGATTATAGCAAAGGCAGTGGTAGTCTTTCCATTGAAACCTTGTTCCAGGGCAAAGTGCTTCAGCTGAAGTTGAGCCTGACAGAGAAATTATGAGGTGGCATTCCCTGGCCTAGGTTCTGAAGGATTTCAGATAAAGTTGCTATATTGTTCTTCCTGGCTTTAACACCTGTAAAGTCACTGTGCCAGAAAGGAAATTAGGTATACCTTCTTACATACCTTTAGAAATGGGGAGAACCCAATTCACCTGTGTCTGAACAGTGAATCAAAATGTTCTTGCAACCACAAATTCCCCTGTAACAGAAGTTGGTGGTTTTCTTTCTAACGGGGAAGAGACCAATCAATTAAAACAAATGAAAATAAAAATTATATATATTTCCAGGAATTGGTGACTTGTGATAGTAGGACCTTATGTTGGATGTTCTTTCTGTTTTTCAGGCTGATGATATCCGAGCTTTGCTGATAGATGCGATGCCTCCAGAAGCTTTGCCTACATGCTTCAAGCCTCAAGCTACTGTCGTTAGTGCCTCTGTGATCTCGCCAGCATCCACACCGTCCTGCCTCTCTGCTGCCAGCAGCATAGATAACCTCACTGGGCCACTGGCAGAACTAGCTGTAGGAGGGGCATCAAATGCTGGTGATGGAGCAGCAGGAACTGACAGGAAGGAAGGAGAAGGTGCATTTGCTGCTGGACAAGTTTACATTGCTAGAAGTACAGTAGTTTAGTATCACAACAGGCCTTGCTTTATCTGGAAAGCATTTCCAACTAGCAAGAAAATACTGTCCAGCTTGAACTGTTACCTACATTTTAAAGTGCCTGATGCTTGCTCTGTTTTCACGTGCTCTGCTAGGAGCACTGTTGACTGTTCATCTGTGTTTGCTGTCAGTGATTAGGTCTGACTACAAAGGCAGATCTGATTAGGTACCCAGATGTTTGTTGTTGATTTTATAAAGAAAATCCAATAAGAATTATTTTGATGAAGGAATTATGATTGTGATGGCTGGGGGACTTTGCTAAGGCCTTTTAAACCCTTTAATTAGTATCTGGAATCCATGCTTTAGGTCAGCATCTAGGTGATCACATAGCAAAAATACACCCACTCTTCCTTTCCTTCTCTTTACAATACAAGTCTGCATTTGTCACAGATGGCTTGTGCTTTTAATAGTTCATTCTGAAGAGGGAACAGTGATGAGATTTGCACAGAGCTTTGACACAATGGAAGTGGATTGTTTATTACAGGCATGGACAAATTGCAAAAAAAATCGGAGTGTGGAATTTTGAGAGAATCAGTGCTACTGATTATTTTTTTAAAGTTGGTTGGTTTGGTTTGGCTGTTGTTAATTCAGATGCATAGGATATAAATACTCATTTCTTCTCCTGTAGTTTCTGGTCTTGACATGAACATTACCCAGTTCCTAAAAAGCCTCGGTCTTGAACACCTACGAGATATCTTTGAGACAGAACAGGTAAGTGACCAGCCTCATCTCTGTTTGTATGTTTAAGAGGTAAACTAACCTAATAAATTTGAGCAACATTTTTGTTTTGTGATTGAAAAAGGGAAAGAAAAAAACTCCAGTGTCACATCTACAGAAAAATAAGTATGCCCAAGTTTTCTTTCAGTTTTCCACAAATGAGTTGCCAGATATGTTACAGTAAAGTTGAGAAACCTGTGAAAATATCTTCTGTTGTTTGATTCAGGTGTCCAGTAGCTTTCACTTTCTTATACATACACTATGACTGCCAATTTGGCTTCTATTCTGAAAGTTATATTGGACCTTGTGAACTTTGAACATGATGGATATAACAAAGTTAGGTTGAAATGTAACCTGCACTTGTCCTTCAGCAGTCTCAATAGCCAGAAAAGCCTTTCACCACCTGTAGTGCTGCATGTGGTATTTTGGTTAGATCTAGGAAACACTCCAGTTTGACTATATGCTGAAATAAAAATCTAGTTTGCAAGGGCATAGTCACACTAGAGAATCAGAAGCTACATTTCTATTAGGTTTGGACCATAGCATTAATTGGGTTTTGCAGGGCTAACAAGTTTCAAATGGCATTGAGAGATAGGGAAAAAAACCTGCGGATTTATCAGTATTTCACAATATAAGAAAGGAGTACAACTAATGTAACAGTTTCTCAACCTTACATAATGTTTTAGAGCAGAAGTCTCTGTAATGTATTCGTAGACCCTTTTTATGTACCATTTCTTAAATTTAAGATGTTACAGTTGAATAAATTTGTTTGTTTGCATGGATTCATGGTGGAAGTGAAAGGTACAAGTACAAGAGACTGGATAGAATAATTATTTTTTCTTCCGGCCTCTGCTGCTAATCCTTTATTGAGGGATCAGGAAAAAAGGTTTGAAATGTAATGTATTGCTTACAGAAAAAGTTCCAACTATTTCTGTGATATATTCTAGGAGGTATTTCTCCAAAGTTAAAATACCACATAATTTTTTCCCCTTCTTGTATATGAAGCATAAGCTTTTTTCTTTAATTTGGAACTGTTTCTATTAAGAAGGAAACCAACCTCAAACCAACCTATACTCTTCTCACATTCCTCTTTTCTTACTATTTTTCACACCTTCCTATTGCCTTGCTGGTTTTGTTATACTTTTGCTTCCTTAGCTCCTAACCTGTTTTAAGATTTTCCCTGGCTAATAAGATTTAATAATGCAATTTGGATTCACTGTATTCATCGTTTTGAAACCATTTAGGTCCTCTTGTAAGTTTCTTTGCAGTAAAAACAAGCTCATCTTCTTTAAGCTTATTGTTTTAAGCTGGTTTTTGCAAGCACTCAGTAACTTTGTGTGCACTTTTTCACCTTGGCTCTACCCTGCTCCTGATGCTTTCTAGGATTTGGGTTTTTCTGGGTTTTTTAATGTTCTGCTGCACATGATGAATGTCTGCAGTGGCTTTTCCACAATGATCCCAATGGGGTTGTTTTCTGCTCGGTTGGACAGATATTCAGTGTATCTATTAATTCCTTACTTGAGATGCTTTCTTTTGAATTAATGATATTCACTTTGTAGTGGACAGAGTTTACACCTGCAATTCAAATTGTGCTAGTAATACAACTTCTTTTCTATTATTTGCTGAGCTCCCCATTCTAGTTTAATGTGTAAATTTACAAGTAGATTTTATGCAGTTATCTCCTCCAGTTGAGATAGTTCTGGTTTTCATAGAATCACCACAGTGCACAATTGATTTATAGTGCACAGTACTTTATTTAGCCTTTATCTCCTGTTCTTGACAAAAACGTTTATTTGGCATCATGTTTTATTACCTTTTTGCTTCCACCATTAATCTCCACGACCTTGAAATTTAAAACCTTGTCAGGTGATTGTAGATGTATTCATGTATTGCAACCAAATGAATAGTTGTATATGTCCTCACAATGCTAATTATTTCCAAATATAGTGGAACAGTTGAGCATGCCTTAGCATAGCTGACACACTGGTTTGATACACATGCAAGTCCACATGTGTATATAGATATATAGTAATAGCACACCATAACAATGTTGATCTGAAAAAGACAGCATTTATCAGTAAGCTTATAGATTATTAATTTCTGCTTGTGTAGTGAAAGTAATGAATTGCACAACACGGTGAAACTTTGAACGCTTCAAAAATACTCCCATATTTGTCCCAGCATTTCCTTGCATCCTCCTTGTACCTAAGTAAAAATGCTTGTGAGAACCTTTTATGAGAACAGGCTCATGCTAATTGGTTTAAGAGAAGTAAAAGTTTTGCACAGCTTCACACTGTAGCAGCTGGGTATGATCCTGCAATAGGGAGAGGTTTGCCAGAAGGTGGCAGCAATTAGAAGTGAAAAAAACCATTAAACATATATAAGGTCTTGGTTGCACCATGAATACAGTCCATTTTCTGAGGTGATAGGTCTTCAACCTTGGAAGTTGGGCTAGGTTTGGTAAGTGATTTTTGTGGTCTTTCATCTTTCCAGATAACCCTGGATGTGTTGGCAGACATGGGGCATGAGGAGCTTAAAGAAATTGGGATCAATGCATATGGACACCGCCACAAATTAATAAAAGGTGTGGAGAGACTTCTAGGAGGGCAGCAAGGTAAATATGACAGTTTTACTGGTTAGTCCAACTGTTGCATATAACAGGGTCCCAGATGTAGATCTCTCTCTAAATGTAGGCATTGTCACCAGGACTTGAAAGAATCCAGATGTCAGGAAAGTGTATTTGCTGGCAGACATGGTGGATGAGTGGGTTGTGACAGGTAAAGAATATATTCAGGAGATACAGGACCAAGTGATCATTTGCCTTTCCAGGGAATTGACAACCCCTGAGGCAACCTTGGAAGCTGTGCCTGTTTCTCGGAATCGTGTTTCCCCCAGGCAGGAGCTATTGGATTAGTTTGCCCTATGTACCTACCCACAGGCCAGTTGTATCCTGAAGGGTGGACCTGATGGAGTTTTAGCTGCCCCACACTTCTGAGATGCTTCTGTTGAAAGCAGAAGCAATAAAGTGCAATTATGTCCCACATGCATTTTTCTTCTCTCTTTTAAAGCCTCTGCTGCTAACGAAGGCTTTTTATGTTTTTGAGGTTATGCTTCTGCCTTGTGTTTATTTTTCATTTCCTTCTGTGCTGGAGTTGTTTAAGAAGAGTAATGATGATGATGGATACAAATAGAGCTGGTATTGGTTTTTCCTGTTGATTTGTGCTCCTTTTCATTCCTTCTCTTTGCAGGCACTAATCCTTATTTGACTTTCCACTGTGTGAGTCAGGGGACCATTCTCCTTGACCTTGCTCCTGATGATAAGGAGTATCAGTCCGTAGAAGAGGAGGTAATCCAAGTCCCTTCTTAATGCTTCAGTGACTGTATATTTCTCTTTTCATTTATAACCTGTCAGAACTAAAGTATAATACATTTTGAAAGTGATGAAATAGGCTTTGGTGTGTGAATTGTGTAGATCTGACATGAAGTTTGGGCCTCTTCATTTGTCTTTTCACATAGAACAATGATAGAAGTTATTTTGCTGTGTCCTGCTAATTTTTTTAACGGGTGGTCTGTTCACTCACTTAGTGTTATTCCAATTTGTTGTCATGTTTTGAATGTTGTCTCATAGGAAGGGTTTTCACAGCTTTCCATAGATAGGTGGACCTGCAAAAATCAGAAGCTGTGTATAAAGACCAAGAGATCAAAACCTTGCAATACTCTAGGCATTTTCTGTGCTCAAGCTATTTCTGCAAGTGAACCAGCTTGTTTTCTCTTGTCTCAGTGGCTTGGTTAATCAGTAACCCAGATAAACAGCTCTTGGATAACTGAGCATTGACTGCAATTTTGCCTCCCACACACACATGCTCTTTTATTTAAGTAAACTACAAGCAGATACCATTTTGAAAGCAAAAATCACAACAGAAAAGAGACTTCCTGAAGAGTTGTATTTGGAAGAAACTCCATTTTACTGTGCATTTGCTATTTGTGTCATGTTCCTACACTATAGCACAGAAATCTTGTAGTCTTTTTTAAAGTCTAGATATTCAGTATCGGTGCCAGTTAAGCCAGGAATATTTTTTATTAGTAACTTCATAAACTGGAGTTTGTGCAGATTGTTTTTGTACACTTTTCCAACAGAAAGGGTCACTTGTCTGCCATAGTAAATTGGGATGTTTATTTGAACTGTTACTAAATATTGTTGCTGTAGCTATAAATACTTCTGGAAAAGACACAATGAAACCATTAAAATTCTCAGGATCTGCTAACGACATAGGAAAATTTACAATACAGCCATTTTCCTATCACTAAGAAATGCAACCTAAACTCATTAAAATCACATTTGTTATTACTTCAAAGTGATATTTTTGTATATTCATTTTCAAGGATTGTTTTTTTCTAATCTAAAGCAGATTTTCTAGTTGTATATAATTTGGATAGCAAGTGCCATTATTCTCCTTTTTCCTATGTAGATTTTTATTACAAGATTGGATAATTGCATCATCCAACTTCTCTACTGTGGAACAGTATAGGATGTGGGGTGCTTGAGAAATTAAGGTGTACCTCAGTTTAAAATTGATGTGTTTTTTTACACCTTTTAATTAGTTTTCAGTCAAGATTGCCTGTTGTTGTCAGTGATATTCTGAGACACTGCATGGATACTTTGCCTTGCTAGCAAGCTTTTTGCTGAACATTCAGTTGTGTTCTTTTATGTAGATGCAAAGTACAATCCGGGAGCATCGAGATGGTGGAAATGCTGGTGGTATCTTCAACAGATACAATGTCATCAGGGTAAGTTTCAAAACCTCTTAATTTTATGGAGTAAATTATGTTAGTATCTGTGCCAGCAGGCAGAATTGGTTTAATTTATATTTAAAGTTCTTTGTTGAAATAATATTCAGGAACAGAGTTAAAGCAAGTGCTAGATGCTAAAAATAGACTAAATGTGTGCTCTGCACGTGAAATGAGGGAGAAGTCCACTTGGGCTCTTAAAGGAATCTGAAGAACTGATGTTGAAGACAGAAGTTGATGAAGAATCTGACTTTTTCACAACCTGATTAAATTTCAGAGGTCTATAACTTCTGTATTTGACTTTGCAACCCAGATCTGTTTTTTTTTCTCAGTGTAGTCTTTTTTTGTCTCTTTAAAGGAGATTTGGGGGAGGGGTGTATAAAAGGATGATCGTGACTTTTAATAAGTTTCTATCTCCCTATGCAATCTTAGATCTTGACACCTCCTTCTTTGCTTTTACTAACTAGAAAAATATGTTTTACAAGTCCTGTTATTTCAGAAATCAGAGTGTTGTCTTTCTGAGGGAAGGTACACCTTCTGGTTGCTTTTTGGGGGGAGAAGGAAATAGAGGAAATCAGAACAGAACTTGGTTTCTGAGCTCCAGAAAACCCATGGTACCTACCTGTTTGAAAAGTAAACCTGTCCAGAGCCTTTGCAACTTGATCCAACAGATCATACATCCCAAAGTAAACTTTGCTTTCAATCCCACTCCCAGCCAAAGGTAAAGTCCTTTAGAGAAACCACAGTAGTATGAGCGTGTGGCTGAAACAATATCTCAGGATAGATTAAACAGCACATCTCCCTATTTTTTTCCTCAAAAGTTGTTTCTTTTCATAAAAAATAAACCTCAACTAGACAGCTAGTTTTAAAAAACTAGACTAGATTGTTCAACAGAGCTCAAAGCAGAGAGGGAAGGAGTTTCAGACAGTTTCTAGTTCTTTGTGGTATTGCAGGCCTCAAGAGAAGAAGCCTGAAAGTTGTCCTTAAACCTGACAATTTAGGCTGCAATTTCACGCTAGTTTTAACCATTTGTAAGTGTGTGCTACAGAGTTGTTTGAAAGACTTCACCCTTGTGTGCAGAACAGGCTGGGGGTTTCTTTGTACCCTTCTCATGTCTTGCTCTCAGTTTCCCTGTTGAATTTATGTGAACTCTGTGAAACTATATTCCATTTCAATTCCAATTCAAGTATGGTTGGACTTATTATACCACTGCAGATTCAAAAGGTAGTGAACAAGAAGTTGCGGGAGAGATTCTGTCACAGACAGAAAGAGGTCTCAGAGGAGAATCATAATCATCACAATGAACGCATGTTGTTTCACGGTAAGGAAGTAGTGTCTCTTTGTATGTATTGGAATTTAACAAAAAAACCTAAACCCTACAAGGACCCACAGGCAATATTAATGTTGCTGTGTCACCATCCTGTACCAATAATTGTATATCTACACTTGAAATGCAGAGGGTGCATTGGGGATGGGGGAGTGGTGGAGTTAGTCTGTATGGTTACTGCAATTCAAAAAGCTACACAAGGTAAAAAAATACTTTTTGTTGTTGTTGTTATTTTAAGAAAAAGGAAGGTTTTTTGCTAAGCCATATCTTAGTCATTTCCAGTAAAGCTGCTGGGCGGATGTTACATTGCTGTGAGAAAAACATGGTATCTTCTGAATGAGGAGAGCAGCACTCAGTAAAAGTGTTTTACCCTGGTGCTGATTCAGGCAAGCCATCAGGGAAAGGAATCAAAACCAGCTATGAGTTTCAGCAAGAATTCTTTAGAAGTGCCTACAAATGACAGTTGCCTGAAGGTCCTTCTGCCCTAGATTCTTCTATGATTCTGTATAGGAAATTGGTTTTGGGCATGGTTGTCTTGACATCTTGCCCCATCTTAACCAATACTGACTGCCGGAGAAGGTGTGCATTGACAAGATAAATTGCACTGAAATGTGAGTAGGGGGAAAGCCTTTTAATGAGATCCGTGAAATGAGTAAGAAATGAGTCACACGTGGGATTTTGGTATATAATGATAAATCCCACACATCACTGCATCCTGCTGGGTATCGCCCCCTTCCAGCTGACTGAGCACGCTTTCTGATATTTAATGGTCTGTTTGAGGCAGATAAACTCCTCTTGACATGGAGTCCTGTATTACTATAAAACTTAACAAGTATGTATCTTTTTGTGTCATTCTCTTCTAGGGTCTCCTTTTATTAATGCTATCATTCACAAAGGATTTGATGAAAGGCATGCATACATTGGAGGAATGTTTGGAGCTGGAATTTACTTTGCTGAGAACTCCTCAAAAAGCAACCAATATGTGTATGGAATAGGGGGAGGAACAGGCTGTCCCACACACAAAGACAGGTCCTGTTATATCTGTCACAGGTATGAGTCCAGCAGAGTTCCCCATACGTAATTTTGGCTGTCCTGGTTTTTACAATCCTGGTCCAGGATGACTTATAGGGAAAGAATGGCCACTTGAGCTTGGTCATGGCAGGAAAAACGCAGTTTTCCATTTGTCAAAGCTGAACAAAAAAGGATATAAATGCAGCGAGTCCCACAGGAAGGTCAAAAATTACATCTAAGCATGCAGTGAGTATAAATCAAAGTGAGCTGTGGTCAGGAAAGAGGCTTGAAACAGCAAGTTTGAAAATGAAGAGTCAGGGGAAAATAGCAATTAAACTCCAGGCACTCTCAGAACAAAGCTGCAGTGCAAAGTGGTGGTCAGCAGTACAGTGTTGTACTGTGGATCAGATAATTCTGGAGGTAGTGAGCAGGACTTAATCACAGCTTTGTTTTGTACTGGAATAGATCAATGTGTTTCTCGCACTTTGACACCTGTCCATACCCTGCTGATAGGAACACAGAGAGTTTCAGCTTCTTTCAACAGCTTTATATAAGGTGAACTAGAACAGGCCTCCTTGTGAGGGCTAGATTAAGTGTGTATTTTCCCTTATGTGTGTTGTGAAAGATTTTTTGTGACAGGTTTCGTACAGTCTTAGAACTGGTTTCTAGAAGTGTTTCTCTAAAAAGCCTTGAGAAATTAATTGTAACAAAGTAAACTCAAAAGACTGAAATTGTTCTGGAAGCATACAACTCCTAGTAAGATATTTGAAAAATTATATTTTCTTTTTTCCTTTTAGACAAATGCTGTTCTGTAGAGTGACCCTTGGAAAATCCTTTCTTCAGTTCAGCACAATGAAAATGGCTCATGCCCCTCCAGGGCACCATTCTGTTATCGGCAGACCAAGCGTGAATGGACTTGCATATGCTGAATATGTTATCTATAGGGGAGAACAGGTATGTAAGTTAGCAAGGACTGGGCTTATGGAAGGACAGAGCTTGGAGCTGGAGAGGGGATGTGACTGACTTCCAGACCAAGTGTACTGTGATAAGGTGGTTGATTACATTTTTAATTTTTTTTTTCATTTAAATGTGGAAATAAACTGTATCTAGCCAGCAAATCCTACTCCCCTCCACTGAACTGCTCTGATTTATACCATGCAGAATTTCCTGATTTGCCCTGTGGTGCACTGCTAGAGCCTATTAAGAATTGTAGTTTCTCTCAGTAGGTTCTCCTTCTCCCATTCCATTTCACTGCATTACTGCAGTATCATGATCACATGCATTTTTGGGGCTCTTGTACATCTTGAGGATTCTGGGCTTTTTGCCTCTATATTCCCAGCAGTGACAGAGACTGCCCTTAAATGGCAGCTGGAGTAGCACAGCAATCTTCAGAAGCTGATATTTAATCTAAATAACTCAGCTAGACCCTGGCTCTAGAAAAGCGGTTTGCTTACTTTATTGGGTGGCTCCAAGACCACTGAATGACACTGAATAGCCACAAGTCTGTGGGGCCTGATGACATGCATCCCAGGGTCCTGAGGGAGTTGGCTGATGTTGGAAACCATTCTCCATCATATTTGAAAAGTCATGGCCACCAGGCGAGGAACCCAGCAACTGGAAAAAGGGAAACATCACTCCTGTTTTTAAAAAGGGGAGAAAAGTAGACCTGGGGAACTACAGACAAGTGAGCCTCACTCCTGTGCCTGGGAAGATCATGGAACAGATCCTCATAGAAGCAGTGCTAAGGCACATACAAGACAAGGAGCTGATCCAATACAGCCAGCAGAGCTTCAGTGAGTGCAGATCGTGTCTGACCAATCTGGTGACCTTCTCTGATGGAGTGACTGCAATGGTTGACAAGGGAAGATGGACCGATGTCATCTACTTGTCATGTCCCATGTGACATCCTTATCTCCAAGTTTGAAGGGCGGACTGTTTTGTGGATAAGGATTCGGCAGGATGGTGCAGCCAGAGGGTTGTAATCAGTGGCTCTATGTCCAGGTGGAGACTGGTGATGAGAGTTGTCCCTCAGGGCTCTGTCTTGGGCCCTAGAACAGGATGCCCAGAGAAGCTGTGGATGCTCCACTCCTGGAAGTATACAAGGCTAGGCTGGATGGGGCTTTGAACAACCTAGTCTAGTGGAAGGTGTCCCTGCCCATGGCAGGGTGCTTGGAACTAGATGATCTTTAAAGATCCCTTCCACCCAAACCATTCTATGATTCTGTGCTAAGGTATTATATAATCTTAAGTTCAGGTTCAAAGGAAGCTTGGGGAGGTCTCCATGGCCAGCCTGTTGTTCACACTGAATCCAGGCCAGATTGTTGAGAGTTTGCTTTGACCAGGCAGGTCTTGGAGGCCTCAGCGAATAGTGTTTCACAGCCTCCTACAGTAGCTTGTTCCTTTGATTACTTATCCTCGCAGTAAAATAATGCGTTCTTTGTATGAAATAGAAATCTTCCCTGTCTTAATTAATCACATTCTCGGACTGCACATCTCAGAAAATCTGTGTTCTCCATTTCATACGTAATGGAAGACTGCTATGAGGTCCCACAAAGCCTTCTCTTTTCTGAACTGAACAAGCCCATCTCCCTCAGCCTCTTCTTGTTTATCCTGTGCTCTCTCCCCCTGACTATTTTATTGGTCCTTTGCTGAACTTGTCTCCAGCTTGTTGGCATCTTTCTAGTATTGGAGGGCCCAAAAGTTGTATGCAGTGTTACAAGGACTTTGTCCCAGGTGCATTTGCCTTTGCTGGATTTCATGAGGCTTCTGTAGGCCCAGTCTCCTCTCATCTGTCTAGGTTCCTTCTGAATGGGGCTCTGCCCTCCAGCAACTTTAGCCTTGTTCTGGGACTGAACCAACTACCAGCTGTCTTCAGAAAACACTGGACAGATGACTGACTGGGTTATGTGCTTTGGGTGGGCCAACTGTCTTACTGCCTGTAAAGGAATTTGCAGGTCACATGGCAAGTTAGTGAGCCTTTTGGGGTCAGACTGTCTGAGATTTTTGAGTAACTTATAGGCCCTGACTGATCTGTAGGACTAGCTAACAAGGAGAGTAACTCTGAATTTCTGTTACACACAGAATTTCCGGCGGTGCCTGCATGGAAGAAACATCTTTCTTTCTACTAGTATATTAATCGAAGTATTAACTGCATTGAGCAGTTCCCACTTATTGCTGGCTAGGTTTGAAATCCACTTTTTCTTCTGCGTGCTGTGAACACAGAGCTGATTCTTGTGCTGTCCTTTCTGGGCACTGTTTAGTGAAATGCAAAAAAATGGGAACTTGCTGAGTGTACCCTTGCATAAAGCACTGGTTTTTTTCTTGTTTTACTTTCAGGCATATCCAGAATATCTCATTACATACCAGATTGTGAAACCAGAAGCTCCCTCACAGACAGCAACAGCAGCAGAGCAAAAGACCTAGTAGCTTCAGAGCAGTGAAGAAGGATGTGGCTTCAATCTTGGACTGGATGGATACATGTTTCAGAAAATCAGTATCATAAAGTTCTTAACAACCTGGAAATAAGCTGTATGTTTTTTATAAAGCATTGCTGTCTTGATGAATATGATATGAGTAACTCTTGCATACTCAATTGCTACTGTTCCTGTTGAGGAAAGTTTACAAGGGACTGCCTTTTAATAACATATCTCAGGCTCCTAGTCTCTGCAGTTACCGTGTATAAAATAATATTGTTTTGATCTAGACCTTGGGAACATTATTGTGCAAATGGAAATCTTTACTGGTGCCATCTCACATGTTAAAATTTCAGACACTACTATTCTAGTTATTTTATTTGCAGATAAATTGCATTAAGCCCATCATTTTCTTTTCAGCATACGTCATTCATTTTCTGTTGTCAAGAGATCCTATTTATTCTTCTTTTGTATTCTGAAGTTGAGCCGGAACCTTCTTGAAGATATTTTGCACAAAAGTCGAATTGACTAAAATCATTAACAATGCAATATAAATTTCATCTGAGGAGGGGCTAGGTCAAGTTCTTCAATATAGGGGTTTTTTGCACACCTCTGAGCAAACAATAATATGAGTGAGTGTAACTTTAGAGTGGAGACAAATCATGATAGTTCTCTGCTTTGTCTGTGTGAGTTTTCTGGGGGAAGCCAGAAAGTGTTTGCAAGGGTAAAACCAGCTCTTGTGCGTGGAGGAACATCATAAAACAGGTCCACGTCCTCTGCTGGCATCCCTAAAAGAACATTTTATAAGGCTCCTATTAAGTACATGCAGCTTGTGAACTGTTCTCCAGTTACAGCGGCGTATGGGTTTCTGGGAGATAGCAGGTGAACAGTCAGATTTCATACACAAGGGCATATCTAGTTCATGTTCCTCTGTAATATAAGACCCAGTAAATGGGTTTCAGGCTGGTAAGGGAGAGTGTGTTATAGCAGTTTCATGTCACATCTTTGCGTGTGACATCACAGTTGAAGAGCTTAAGGGATTTACAAAAGTAATAATTATTTTAGATATCCATTTTACATTTTGATGAGAACGAAAATTTAAAATATCAGTTGGCAAGTGGATTTGTTTGCAGGTGTACCAGAGAACAAAGCTAGGATTTATTCATTTAATTCTCTTCTTCCCAAGTTCCCAGGTTTACTTTACAGGGTAGGAGAAAATTATTTTTAAGCGTTGCGTAGCACAGAATCAAACAGTTTCAAAAGTCCCCTTCATGATGAACGTGCACTTAACAAAAGTAGCAAGCAATTTCTTTTTTTGTGGTGTTTTACAGTTTCAGAGAAGGTTGAAAATCGAGACCTGTTAATTTTTTTCCTAACAGCCAATACCAGGACATGTGCTTCAGTGTTGACCATGTAACAACTGGAGAAAAAAATGTTCCTTTGAACACAACACGCTGTATATTTCCCTATCAACCAGCACTATTTAGTATCTGATGATCCAGTTCATGCACTCAGGTTTTATCCCCCTTAAAGCAAGAAAACGACAGAATAGTATGCTTTTAATTTATAAAAATATATGTGCTACTCACAAGTGGGATTTTGCTGACATGTTTGGATAAAATAAAGCTGAAGAGCTTTTCACTTTCAGCATTAGGACACAGCATTTTTATTTTTAACATTAAGGCATTAATGCTGAAGCAAGTTATCTTCATAAGGAATTTCACCCACTGTAAAATCAGTCACTTGATGCAATATGTCTACCTGAACATCATCCGCTTGTAGTATCTCTAAAGAAAACCTTAGAAATAGCAATACTCCAGCAGATCTTGAACTTTGAGTTTTATTTTTCTTGAGCTGGCAGTGGATATATGGTTCTCACTTCATTTTGTGACCTGATTAAATATGTAGCTTTAAAGTCCCAGCCAGGCTCTACCCTAGTTGTCCTTTTAAACAAATTTCAGTGATAAAATCGGGTGCTTGTATTTTGGCTACTTGTTTCATAGTGTTAGGATTGCAGAGATCACCACTAGGCTTTGAAGCTTTGTAATCACCATTAAAGTTTGGGGTTTGTTTTTAATTTAGTTAATAATGGAATGAGGGAATGTGCCTATCTACACTAGGATTTCAGATAGCGGCCAGAGCCAGTATTGCTCACTATCCCCAGTTAGACATAGTTTTAAATGGTGAAACAGCTGTGCTGCTTAGGTGAGCAAAATGGATAATCTGGGTGTGGAAGTTAAAAGCTTTACATCTTTCAAAAACAAGAACAAATCTAAAAACGAAAAACCCCACCAAACCCGCACCGGATGCTGTTCTTGCTTGTTGTTTCCTGTGTGCTGATTGAACTAATGGTTAGTCTGGATTTCTTCTGCAGCCTTGAACTTCTAGAGGATAAAAATAGCCTAGAGAAGAGGAGACTAAGGGGAGACCTCATTGGTGTCTTCAACATCCTCATGAGGGGAAGCAGAGGGGCAGGTACCTATCCCTTCACTCTTGTGACCAGCGACAGAACTCAAGGAAAAGGCATGAAGCTGAGTTGGGGGAGGTTTAGGTTGGATATTAGGAAATGGTTCTTCACCCAGAGGGAGGTTGGGCACTGAACAGGCTCCCCAGGGAAGTGATCACAGCACCAAGCCTGACAGAGTTCAAGAAGCGTTTGAGCAACACTCTCAGGCATTGTGGTGTGACTCTTGGAGTGTCCAGGAGTTGGACTCGATGATCCTGATGGGTCCCTTCCAACTCAGCATGTTCTGTGATTCTCTGATTCTACTTTCCAGTATCTTTGAACTGCCAGTGTTAACGTATCTGATGTTCTGTGCAGAGTAAAGGTGCTGTGCGAGGAAATAATTTTGCAGTGGTTTTTGTCTTGTAATGACGTGATCTCATATCTGTTTGTGGCCAGACATAGAGGAATACCCAGGCCTGATGATGCGTCTGTGTGTCGTAGAAACCTGTGCAGGAGTAGCGTATGTTGTTGTAGCTCCTCTTACAGTTTCAAACAAAGTGAGGATCTGCCCATCAATATCAAAGTTACCCATGAAAAACCTGGTTGTGGTTTTGGTGGTAGAGCTGTATTTGGCAGATTGTTAATGGTACAGATGCTGCTGCTTTAGCTGGGGGAGTTAACTTCAATGGGACCTTAAAAATGCCATGCCCCCATAACCAGGCAGCTGCTGCCTCCTGAGAAATTAAGCTTTTGACCTCCTGAGAAGTGCAGTTCCCTGATAATGGGATCCTTAATTGCAGCATCGAGTCACAAGTGGAGGCACAGTAGGAGCTAAGGCTGTACGAACACTCTGGGCTAAGCCAGATATCTCATAGGCTGGGGAGCCTGGGCACCCCTCACAGGCTCTAGAAAGAGCTATTCCCATTGGGACAGAACACAGTGTGTGCTGGGGAAAGGGGCAATTTGTCTCTCAGGCCTGTTGATTTTTGTCAGTGTCCCTTTGAGGCAGCATTTTGGAACTTCTGTGCAGTTTGAGGACTTTAATAGGCAAAACTGAAAGAAACTTCACCACATAACAAACAAGGGAGGATTCTGCCCTCCATTGCCGAAACTGTTTCTATGAGACTGATGAATTAGATATCTGGTGCAGAGCGACGTTGTAATCTGAATGCTATCAGCAAAACTTCTGTTAGGTTTAAAAACAGAGTACAGTACCTTAATAAGGTATATTTTATTTTCCAATCCTTATTTTTACCAACCAATCATGTTTGATCCCAGCTCCACAGAGACTGTTACAAACCCCTTGTACTAGTTCCACCATGTTGCAGTCACTTTTGGTCTGCAGTCCAAGGAATAAGCAATGGTTTTCTAACTTCTGTTTTGAGTATTTGCATGTGATGCAATTGAATCCCACTGCATTATATAGCAGGAATTTATTTTGCCTGCAAACTTACACTTTACTTGTTGGTAACCAGAGTACCCCAAAATTCTACACTGAAGCAAAAAGAAAGCCCCACAAAATGTTGTGCACTGCTGGCTTTGGTGGGCAGCAGGCACAGAAAAGGAATGTGGTATATGGGACAGAGCAGCTCCTGGAGAAGGACACTTTCTTGGCTCTGGAAAGCAGCTGCTCCTAGTGTTTGTTGTAGGTTACAGGAGGCATCTGCTCTCTGTGAATGCCTGAAGTGCTGAGGGATGCTAACGTGTGCCACTGCATGGCCTCTGGGAACTACTTAACAGTGGCAAATCTCAAAAAAGACTCTTGCATCCCTGCAGTGACATCAGAGTTCCTGCACAGTTCAGGCACTGCTTAGAATTTCCATATGGGACTGTTAACAGAAATTGCCCAGAAGAGGTTTTTACAAGACAGGTAAAAGGAAGGGTTCAGCCACAAAACAGATTAGTTTGAACATTGCTAATCATTCTCAGAAGCTGAATGTCAGGAAATGTGTGAATTTATTTTCAGTGGGATTTCTCCGTTTCCATGCTGCTTTGCCACAGAAAATCTAGCTCAGAAATGTAAAAGGAGACGCATCTAAGGCATGCTTCAGTCATGTTAAGGTATCTTTGCAGCATTTTAAGCTATGCTGCAGCCTCGATAGGGAAGACATGGGAAAGCACAGATTCGGTTCTTGCCTCAGGTAGGAACTGGCTTGTGAACCTCCACAGACTTTAATCCATTGTTCAGAGGTGGTGGCTTGGCACAGTCCCAGAGCATATTCTCCTGGTCTTTCAGAGAGCATCAGGACACGTGCACAGAGGCGCAGTGGTGGTGTTCCCACCTGTCTTGAACACACAGGAGATGTGAAACCCAGAGGATCACGGAACAGTGTATGTAAAATCTCTGTAGCAAGGTGAATGAGCCCATGAATCAGTAGGGGATGTGAGAAGCAGATGCCTTTCCTGTTGCGCTAACACATGCCTGTCAGGTTGTATTATCTGACTGGTTTTGATGTACTGGTCTTGCTGGACCTGTTGGTGGTGAGTTTTAGTGTTGGTCCCATTAATTACTAATGTAGAGTATTAGAGTCTCTGTATTACAAGATAATTTTGACACTTTCTTAACATCTGCAGATGTTTCAGCTTTGGAAATTGAAATGGGGATTTTCTGTGCTGCAGTCCCATGAGCTTGTGCATCGTCATTCCTAATTGCTTTCTCTGGCAAC